AATGAGTGAGATGGTGGTTAGAGTTTTGGAACAGGACTCATCAGATCCAAGTTCTAATCCCCACTCAATCTTGAAAGTCACTTGGTGATTTTGGGCTGGTCACTAACCCTGAGGCTAACCTACCTTACAGGGTTGTTGTGAAGAAGAACATGGAAAGGAGGAGAACTGTCTAACTGGATTCTTTGTAGGGAGAAAGGTGAGACATAAATATAATAAATGAATAAAATACACCAAATAGCACAGCAGAGAGAGCGCTCTCTCTTATATGTTGAGATATTTCCTATTTAAATATCATATATCAAAATTGTATCTAGCCTTTCTCCCAACCATGGTATTCAGGATGGCTTACAAAATGCATAAAACACAGTTTGTTTGTTTTTTTAATGTAAACAATTCTATGGTTCTCTAGAACCAGGGGATAATTCAGATTGTATCCCCATCCCTGAGGACAGGAACAGCACTCCAACTTCAGAAAGAGGAATCTGGTCCTCCACCCACATGCAGTTGACTTGGAAATACTTAACCAGCTGCCTCCTGAGGGGGAGAAATGGGAGCATTCTGGAGTTGGGGAGGGGGAAGATCCTGCTACAGGAGGGGTGCCGTCTGCATTGCAACCCATGTGTGATAGCTGTTCCAGCTACACACGCCCTTGCAAGGCAGGAGAACTTTTGCTAGATTTATAAAGTGCATTTGCTTCTTAAGGGTGTGTGTTTCTCAATTCCCTCAGAAATGTTTGAATACACTTAAGATACAAGCAATACTTTATTGCATGAAAGACAGGACATACAGAGTCTTCCACTGCAGTTCAGATGTCATCAATGTACAAGTTTGGTAACAAGGCAGCAAATATAAATCATGCACATTCATACTTTGTAATTCCTAATGAAAACAATGACCCTATATCTGGTATAGTGTATTAAAGGAGGATAGGATGTGGCTGAGAATTCTTATTGTTAACAATTCTTATTGTTTTTAATGTGGTTATTATTTTACTTGTTTTAAATTTGTACTGTTCACCTTTCTGGAATCTGCTTGGATGAGGACTGGTACACAGCTGTTGTAAATAAATTAATAAATTCTAAAGAATAGATAAGCATATCCCTATCTTATAGTTCCATTTAACAAGACTGTACCTTGTTTTGTAAAAACAACTGCATTTGGTTGGTGTACTGAGAGTTGGGTTCAATGTTGTAACCATTGTAACCTTTGACTCCCTGTTTTCTCTTTCACTTGGATGAGTAAGTAGCATTTGTTACACATCCATACTTCATCACTACTGTTCTAATAAGTTGTGTCTCCTGGTTAGGAGTTTTATTCCAATTTAGAAATCATTAAACTATCTGCAATGTATTTATCTATGCCATCTACTTCCTTTGTTAATCCTATAATTTTTGGAATATTTACCAAGACATGTCCCTTCCTTCCTGTGTACATTGCTTAATCCTTAATCCTTTCCAAACAGGACTTCCCTGTTAGGTTTTAATTAAATCTTATTGTCACTGTAACCTGGTCACCATACTTTTAATCAACTCATCCCGTTTTCTAGTACCAAAGGTCAATCCGACAGTCTCTTGAACATTTTCCCATCAGGCCATGGCAATGATCGAGTTCTATTTAGATGCTTACATCTTCTTACACTACACAATGTATTAAATAGGTCACCTGTAGCTGACTCTTTGTATTATTCTTACAAGTGAGCATGCAAGAACTTCATCTAGAATGCACTGTGTTAGGTAGGAGAGGTTTAAGTTTCACCCTCTTAGCTGCATCACTTTTCTGAAATGTTCACCTCACAGTGGGCTTTTAAAAAATTAGCTCTGTTAGAGCCAGTGATTTTTTCCCCCGCTTTCTCTTTTATAGCCCCTCATGGAGAAGGAGTGGAGGAGGGAATTTGGCACACGTGCTTGCTTAGGGGTGAAATAACAAAGAATCTGTAGCAGCAAGCTACGAGTCGAGTCGACAGATTGCGTCCTTTGACCTTCACGGGACTCTGTCCAAGGTCCTGACTGCTTCTGCCTCGTCTTCATAGGACTGCCTCGCCCTGACCAGACCTGCTGAGGTGCCTTGCCTTGCCTTGCCTGCCACCAAATTGCCCTACCCAGAAATGCGGGATTAGCAGTGTCTCTCCTGGAAGCTCAGAGCTTGTCCAGCCAGGACACCACCGTTCTTCTCTTTGAGAAGCGAGTTGGGTGCAACAGTGCTTGAAAGATGCCAACTGGACTGCAGGCAACAACTATTCCTCCCAAGAACCGCTGGTTCCTCATCCACAGAGACACACAGCCACATGCACACATGGACACAACTCATTAAATGGCTCACTTTGTGAACAGAAAAATCTTAGCTGTTACACATATGGTCATTTTAGATAACAGCAAAGGGTGGGGGCATTTCTGAAATCCCTCACTTTTATGTGGTATTAGACTGCTAAATGAAGGAATGTGGAATGTGGTGTTGAAACTCCACATTACTCAACATCACACAGAAATTAAGGGAGGGCAATAACCTGGCGGTTTTACTGCTATCGCCTGTTCAGTGTGAGATATTTTCAAACAGTGCCTTGGTGTAGCAGTTGCTGCATGCAAAGATCCTGTTTCATAATTCAGAAAGGGGTTGATTAATCATACTGATGTATTCACCTTCACTTAAAGTCCTGAACCAGCAGTTGTGTTTTAATCATGATCTTTGCATACGTTAAAACTGTGCTCATTCCAGGTTTCAACAGTGCAACCTCAGAAACTGCAGAGTTCTTCTTCACTGCTATTTTCACCCAGAGAAAATATTCCTCCCCACACACTGGGGTTACAGTATTTGTGCAATGACCCTAGTCTTTTAATATCCAACTTGCACATGTGGCACTAATGTGAATTATAAAAATTTACGATGCAACCTTTTCTCCCAAAAAGCCCAGCAATACAACAAAAAGGAGATGTTAGATTTTCTTTTGGACAGAAGTCTTTAAGTAATTTGTTGGTGAGCTTGTTGTGTTAAATAGGGGGATTGGTAGAAACCAACAATTAATGACCAGAGGAATGAAAAATAACAGATCTGAGGGAAGGATGGTTCTTAACTGGTAAACACAGCAACTATAATCTAGAAAGTAAAATGAGGCAAGTATGATTCATTGTAATCAAATAAAAGGTGTGGAAACCAGGACAGCTCCATAGTGTCCTAACTTGCATGAAATAAATGAGAAAGAGGTAACCCCTCCCCTCATAAAAACAGGACAATATATACATATTGACATGCTCAAGCATGCATACACTTCTGTCTGTCATCTACTTATCTATATATTCCTGGAAGGGAAGTGATCATATGCTAAGGAAAGAGTTGTGACTACATCATTTGAGCATGAGAGATGCTCAAAAATTGCACTGGACAGGGGGAAAGGGAACATTTACATTGTTTTCCTATATTCAAACATCTAGAAAGTGGTAAAGTATATTCTGTGATACATGCACAAAGCTTTAATGGACTGAAGCGCTCATTTCTGTGTCTGCCTTTCTTCTCTTTCCTCCCCACAATTCATTAGAGGGGTGAACAGCAAACAAAGACTTGGCATGATTGAAGGAAGATTAAGTCCCCAACTGTGCTTTCCCTTTCAAACAAATTTATTTATTTACTTATTTAACTTCTGTACCACCCAACAGCTGAAGTAGTAGGAAATAATGGTAATCTGACTTGCCAGTTGTGGAGCAGAACTAGATTATATTAGGATATACAACATCAAGAAGGCCATAAGATTGCTCAAATTGCCAGCTCCAAGGAAGGAAGAAAAGCCCTGACCTCAGAGCTAGGAATCCACACTTGGATTCCTCTCCTGTCCCCACAGTCAGCAAAGAAAAACTACCTGCTGCTTTTCTGAGGCTGTAGGAGCAAAAGGAGTGTTCCAAGAAACAGGGAGAGGACGAGACAGAATTCACTTGATGGCATGCCAGGCTCCTTCGATTGTCAGAATCCCCACAGCTAGATGGACAAAATGAGATGTCCTGCTGATTTGCAGTGCAGGATTGCCCGTCACTCCTCTCACCTTGCATGAGATTCCCACAATCATCCAGGTTTGGTGAGTTATGGGCAACTCCATTGGGCTGCACTCTAAATCCTTTAATGTGTGCCTCTGTCTTTCAGTGTGGTTTCTCCCTCTGCCATAATTCTGCAACCCAGGGTAATCCCATGAAACGGATTGGATTCATCAAAGACAGATAAAAGAAAGTACTTCCCACAGTGCTTAGCTCTTTTGGAAGATGCATAGATGTACAATTATGAGTTTACATGTTTATGCATATTTAGACAATGTCACAATGTCCAAGAGTGCAGCAGTGTCTTTCAAACATGGACATTTTCCAGTAGCAGGTAATCTGATGTCTTTCCCTTGGACTGGTTATTGAGGATCCCAAAGAGAGAGAAAATTGCCAGGTAGTTAAAGCAGCAACCTCACAATTTTAGGACTATGGTTCTTCTGAGATCCGCATAAACATGTTAGACCAGCACATGGACTTTTTTTCCCTCTTTAGTGGTTCTCTGTAGCTAAACAAATATTGTTAAATAAATTATGGAATTCACTTCCACCAGATGTAGTGATGCCGACTGATTGGGACAGCTGTTAGTAGGAGTTGGACAACTTTGTAGAGCAGCTGGCTATCAATGTATACTCGTCCTGATGGCTACTAGTCCACTGTCAGAGGCAGCGTGCCTGTGTGCACTAGGTGCTGGGGAATTTGGGCAGGAACGTGCTGTTGTGCTCATAGCCTGCTTGAGGAATGCTGTGGGCAGCAAGTTTGTTCTGGTGTGAACAGGAAGTTGGATTAAATGGATCTGATGGATCTGAACCAACATTGCTCTTTTTAGGTTCTTATACACTAGAACATGTGAAGCAACTCGTATAACCTGATGTACGACAAATGGAAAGTGAGGGAACAGAAATGCTTAAATATTAGGTAGGCTTCTTATGTGGTGCATCTCAAGTAAATATGGATTCCCATCTCCCCCATTTTCTTTTTCAGATACAGTAAGAGGGCAACCTTGTGGATGGCCTCAGAGTAAGCCAGATGGAACAGGACAGAACCAACCATGTTGAAGGCAGTAGTTTGAGCCCATTTCTAAAGCCACATCCTTCTCATGTGTGCCAGGCAGAGCCTTTGTCAGTGAAGCTACAGAATGGAAACCCAACAGCAGAGAAGGCCCACCACTTTGAACTAAATGGCAACCACACGTGGCTGCATTTCAAGGCCAACAATGGAATGAAGCATGCTGCAAGAGGAAACTCAAACAACCGGATAAGCCCTGATCTTCTGCAGGGAAAGCGAGATTGTAACAGATATATGCAAAATGGTGGGATAAAGCGCACTTTTAGTGAGCCTTCTCTGTATGGGCTTCACCAGAACAAGAAACTTAGGCAGGACGAAGAAGCAAAGGGAGGGAAAGAAACCCCATCAGATGCCTGCAATCAACCAAGTGTTTCAAGTTCAGACAGCAGCAAGAACTTTATGGGATTTAATGTGGGACAGAATGCAGCTTCAGTTCATATTCAGTCCTCACGATACAATGGTGGTGCTTCAGAATCACCTCATGCTCCCCAAATACCGCATGAAGAGGAGTGTGAAAACATTAGTTGCCACAACCGGGACATTGTCTTGCTATGTAAAAACAAGGCAGTGCCCATTCCTAATGGTGCTATAGTTTCTGCATCTTCTATGAGAAACATGCATGGTGAACTCTTGGAGAAAACACTGTCTCAGTATAATCCAGATCATGTTTCCATTGCAATGCAGAAAACCACATCTCTTTCAAATGCCATAAACCCTCTGGCTACTAATGAGTTGGCTTGTGGTGCACCACATTCATCCCATACCTCAGGGCAGATCAGCTCCTCACAAACCTCAAACTCTGAGCTGCCTCAGGTGCTACGTTCTGTGGCTACTAAGGTCCACAGGGCAGAAAACTCCAATAAACCATCCTTGTTGCCCATATGCTACACTTTCCAGAACCCAGAACTAGAGTTAGATCAGCAAAAGTCTGAAAATATTCACCAGTCACCTGCACAGGACGCAGATATTCTGGGAAACAAAGGGCAGGTTCCTAATCAAGATTTCTTACTATCCAGTCAAGAATTTTCACTAAATGCCAGCAATACTCTAAAAGCTCAGAACAAAAGCTTAGAGAGATTGTCAGAGCCAGCAGAAGAAAATGGTGCTTTGTTTCAACAAGTTTCTGTGTTCAAGAATGAGCCTTTCAGTCCATCTCCTGTTGCAGCTTCTCCAGCCCCAGAAATAAGCCCTATTATATCCACTGGGGTGTCAGAAGGGCACAGTAACCTTTCCAAGACCCCAGGTCAAGAAACTCATCTGAAGGAAGAGAAGAATGGAGAGCAGCAACGACACCAGGGACAACTTGCAACACAAATATCTGAGTTTTGTCAGCAGGAACTTCAACAGGGTCTTCAACAAGACATTCAGGTTTCGCAGCAGCCTACCAGTAAAACAGATCTGGTACTCAATGTGATGGCACCAGGGATCAGGCAACAGTATCCCGAGGAAATGCCAGCAAAACTGGACCCTCAAGTTCAAGGCCCACAAATGTTGGGAAGTAGTAAAGATTTACAACACTTTCAGCATATCTTGGGCCAAATTAATGAGGAGGGTCTTGCTGACAGTGAAAAAGACCTAGCAAAAAAACAGTCACAGCAGTCTCAACCTCATCCACAACCTCCTTGGACTGGAATGTCTTCCTCTCACTTTCGCCCCAGTGAGTCTCCCCAAAAGTCAAACGAGGTGCTCTTGAGAACAATGCTCCAGCTGCAATCCAATTCAGCTGAGCAGACACATCCAAAACAATATTCTGTGAGTCCAGATACATCCAAGGGTGCTACAAGTCAGATTTGCTATCAGAACAACATGAGGGGTGAGCAAATACCAGCACTATACAAGGGCGAGGCCATGCAGTTGCCTCCACATCCTTCACCTGACCAGCAAATGCAATTCCAGAAGCACTCTCCCCAGCCTACAAAGATGGAAACTTTGCTGAAATCCCATGCACAGCCACAAAATGCAAAGCACTTTCACTTTCAGTCACATGCTGAGCACCACACCGAACAGCCTTTGGAGGCACAGTTAAAGACGCAGCACTTAAACCCTCCGCCACTGGAGACTGAGCCGCTCCTGAGTTCACATATTTTGCAGCAGATGCTCCAGGCCCAGCCGGCACAACTGCCGCAGAGTCCACAGCTTCCCTTGAGCTCCCAGCAGCCAGTGTTGCCCACCAAGAACAGAGAACTTCTGCAGACCTTTGCCCATTCCCAGAGCAATCAGGAGCAGCAACTGCAGGGAGCATCTTTTAGCCAGCTTAAAATAGAGGAGTGCTTTGAGACAGCAAACAGTTACTTCAAATCCACTGAGTTTCCAGTACAAAATCTCCAGACCAGACCCAGCCAGGTGTCAGATATGAACAATAAAGATACCCTTTACAATCAGGCTTTTAAAGCAAATACAGTCATGAAGCATTCCTACCCAAATAATATGCACTTAGTCTCGGAGAAAAAGGAAGATTCTATAAACACAGAGCTCTTTGCAGAAAACATAACTCAAGACTTGCAGCATATGCAATATTATCCCAACAGTATGACTCCAAAACAAGACTTACCCCAGTGTTTTCAGGAACAAAAACCCCAGTCCTCACCAACTTCAGCTGTACCGCTCCCCTTCCAGCCAACACAGAGCTATCCCAATTTTACCACTAATATGTGCAGCCAGCAAACTCCCCAGGTTCAGTCAAGGTACCTGCCATATAGTAATCAAGCAACATCCCATGCGGTAGAGCAGAGAGGGTGCCATCCTCCATCTCAGCCCCACAGGGACTTTCAAAAGCATGCTGCTCTCAGGTGGCACATCTTAAACAAGCAAGAGCAACAAATTAACCAGAACAAATCTGACACATGCCACAGCATGGGTCACAAGCCAATCAAAGCAGAAGCTGGCCCCAAGATTAATGTCTGCCTCCCTTCGATGGCTGGGCAGATGGAAAACAAAGCATGGAAGAAGCCAATTAAGCAAGAGGTTCAGCATTTTGGTTGTGAGAACATGCAACAAAAGAGCATCATCGAAACCATGGAACAGCAGCTGAAGCAGATTCAGGTCAAGACACCCTTTGATCACAAATCACTTACTATCAAATCACCAAAACATGTGAAGGTTGAAACCACAGGGCCCATCACTGTTCTGTCAAGAAATTCCAGTGCTGCGGATTTCAACAGCCACGCCACCCCTCTAGATCAACAGGTCATTCATTCTAATGAAAAAACTCCCACCAAAAGAACTGGGGGAACAGCTCTCAATCATTTTTTGGAGTCGCCTTCCAAGTTATTAGATACTCCTGTGAAAAACCTACTGGATACACCTGTCAAGACGCAATATGATTTCCCCTCATGCAGCTGTGTTGGTGAGTTAAGTTCTTTGCTTTCGAAATTAATGATATAGGCAATCTACCCTGTTACTGCTTGCCAAGACTAACCAATTTCCTTGCTTTGGCCATCCTCCCTCCTTGCCATCCCATCCCAGAGATAATGTTCTTGCTTTTCAGTTAAATGTAAATGATCGAAACTGCATTTTTATTATCTATTCTGGCAGTATTTTCTGGAGATGAAATTTCAGCCTATTGCAAATCTTGGGCTCTTTTAATTCCACCCTGCCCCTTTCCTGCATGCAAAATGCCACAGACAAGTGTGGTACTACATTTATACGAACATGATTCACTTTGGGGTTTTGTGTGGAAGGTGTGTATAGGGCCAGGGGCCTTCTGCAGGTAAATATGTGTAGCTGAGTGTGACTAGCTGGGGCAAAGGGAGCTCATATGTTCATGAATGGGCATGACTTCTCCCCACAGGCTATGTATTGCCAGAACAGTCAAGAAAGGTGATTCCGTAGGCACAGCAAAGAGATGCCAGCTGAGCAGTTCTTCAGAAGCAAAACCATTAAAAAAAAATTTGCACAATTGAAACAAGGATTTTGAATCCACTTTTTCTGAAGGCAAATTAAAAAGCACTGTCACATAAAGCTTATTAAACCAAAACCATACCTGGCAGCAGATACTACACAATTGTTTCTGTATACAAAGTCTGTTTGGTCAAGCAACTGGGGACAGATGTATAGTTTAATAAAACAAAGGAGCACATGTGTTGGAGACTCTGAATCCTCTCCATCTCTCGCTCCACAGCCCTTCTCCTGCACAACACCTCCTTTCTGGACTGGAGTGTGGGGGAAAGGACTCTGGTGAATGCTTAAAGTATTCTCCATTCTGCATACGCATTGCTCTGGTGCTTTAATGGAACCCTCATGCTCCACTTTAGATGGGGGAACAGATGCACATGTAAAGAGAAAGGCACTTTGGGTTTGAACCACTGTCTGTCTTGTTTGTTAGAGGAGCACCCCATTCCAAAAATGTGTGCAGAGGCCTGGAATCACTGAAATGATTCCCAAACGTTACCTACTTTTGTTCTGCCCTTTATAGAGCAGGTCAACACAAGAGACTTGCATCTTTCATTGAACTGTTTATCTTTTTTGAATTTTGTTTACATTTTTCATTTTACAAACTACTCTTAGGACATTTGACATATGCATCGTAACCTCAGGCAAGAGCTACAACCTTATGCAAGCAAGAGCTATAGACTTAGCTAAAACTTTAATCCTAGCATTGTAACTCATGACCTAGCCTTTTATATTGTGGCTGAACCAGACATGATTTTGGAAAGTTTCCCTTTTAAGACCTCTGTACCAAAAAGTAATAAAAAGTGGTGTTGATACATCAAAGTCAAGAACATGCCTTGACCAGTTGCAGAAACACAGAAACAACTTGCTTTTCCTCCTGCTCACATAACAGAGCAGATTCTATTTAGCCACAGTCATAAGAACTGGGATGATTTGCGCAGTCACAGAGAAGTTGCCAGACCATGGTAGCTTGTGAATCATCTGTGATTGTAATTGTGAATCAGGCAACTGGTTGGATTTACTCGTACATAAGTACTATCACCTGCACAGCTGGCTGTGAGGAGGGTCACTGGGGGACTGGGAAACCGCCCAGCAACTGGGTTTGCATGCTCACTGAGGGGAAATAAGCCACAGTGGCTGGGTTCATGCAACATCTTAACTCTCTTGGGAATCTAAATCATGCACTGTAGTTAAAATTCTGCCATGCCTGACAGTCAGTCAGAGAAGTGATTATGCACTGCCACTTCCTCCTTCCCTCTCTTCCTCCTCACACTCTCCATCCTCCTTCAGTATCCCAGGGGACACTGCAGGAACACCAGAATAACCCCTGAGCAGCAGCAAGCCATTTATTGCTGTCCATACACTGGTTTCTTTAAAAAGTGCCTCTGTTTTATCCATACTTGAAAGTGAGGGCAACTCAGGGCCACCTGAATGCCCCCCCACTCCCAAAATAGAGATTTTTTCTCTAAAGGGTGCTTTCCACAGTCCCCACCTTTTGTTAAATAAATTATTAATGGAACGTGGGGACAGTTAACCGTAGGCTGCAAAATTTCAGTCTGGTAGTCTGTTTGCATGTACACCGTGTACATGCTAACTTATATCTTTGTACCCACTGCTAAGTATTTTAAAACTATGTTTAAAGGGTGTTAAGCAAAAAGCAACTTTGACAGAAGAATCCACACAATGCTCACATGGCTCTCAGCTTTGTGGGCTTCCCTGTAAAAAAAAAATCCTCAAGAACCTGTAAAAAAGGGGTGTTTTCAGGGATATCCCCTAAGTTCTCTCCTCTTTCAAGCAAGATCTCCAGGGTTGGGAGGGGTAGGTGCTAGGAAGTCCCAGCTGTCACCTCCTTTGTGCAATTTACCCAGAGTAGTTAACACCTTGGGAGTTAAATAAGGGGAGTTGTGGCATGTGATTTAAAGGGACAAGCCTGCCTCCCTGCATGGATGTTTTCCAAAGTTTTGCCGTTCCTGTCCCTGCTGCTGCTGCTAAAAGGGAAGGGGGACACTGTCACCAACTGCTGCTTTAGTAACTTCAGGTGGGTGGGAAAGGTGGTTGTGAAGTCGCCTCTTGGCCAGAGAAGCAGCCAGCCTTTCTTACCACTGGGCTGTCTGATTTTTTTTTACTTGACCATGACTTATTTTGCTGCCAGGATTCAGACAACACAATAAGCCATGGTAAGCTTATTAAACCCTGCTACACGCCATGGCTAGTTTATAAGGTAGTTTATAAGCCACCCCAGGGTAGCTTATAAATCACTCTGCAGGAAGATTTCTGGGTTCAGACAGGACATTAAAATGCTATGTTTTTATAAACCATTATGGCTTAACATGTTGTGGAAACCCAGTAACTGGCTTATATTGCATCCCAGGCACAAACTTCCCAATTAGCATAACTAAACCTACTCTGGCCACCCACCCCTGCTGGATATTAGCATAATTACCTACCCTGGATGCAGGTCATCCTGACATCCTCACTCAGTGAAGGTGGGTACTGGGTTCTTTTATGAAGCACCCTGACAGCTACCCCCTCCAGCCACAGTAACTAAGTTCAGATCTCAGGATAATCTGCACACTGTGGGAGTAATTGTGCAACTCTATCCAGCATGCAACCGGCACATGCAGGATGCTTAAAAAACCACTGTGGCTTGTTAAGTGCCTGCATTCGTGCAAACCAGGTCACTGTGTTAACTATGCATCATAACAAATGTCCTACCTATAGCATTATGCATTCCACTTTTCTACCCAAATATCGCTTGCCCCTGAAGAGTGAACTAACCTATTCATTGTTTGCATTTTTTAAAAATTCCTCTTCCAAAGTGAAAACAGCATTTCTCTTCCACTGTCTTGCCACCCTACATTATCACTCTATGAATGAACTGCTGCACACCTGTACCAAACCCAACGTCTTGTGGGTGGTTTTACTATGTGTCGTGTATATCTTGGAAACATTCCAGGTTTCACTAAGAAATGTACAAAAATGAATGCGCTCAGAATACTTGTATAAACTAAACGTTTCGTTGTGTAACTTTCAAGGAAATCTGCCAAGGCATGTAGTATTAACCCTTTTGTTTCAATCTCATTTTAAATAGAACAGATTATTGAAAAAGATGAAGGCCCTTTCTATACCCATCTAGGAGCTGGTCCTAATGTGGCTGCTATTAGAGAAATCATGGAAGAAAGGTAATGAATTGCCAAGGAATATGGCAGATTAAAATTTATCCACTTGTGTGTGTCAGAATTTTTTCCCGGTCTTTACACATAAAGAACACCACACTTGCAGGCCCAAGTAATTATTGGTAGGTTGGCTATTACAGCCTTGCCAACATTGGGCACTGGACTATTCACAAGAGAGTCACAATATTTGACAGGCCTGCTGGCTTGCTGTCATAAAGTGCCCGATGTGAGGCAGATGCCAGCAAATCCAAACAGGAACAGGCATTTACCAGCCTGCCAAATAAGAAGGTTGGCAGGGGATCCAAAAGCAGGCAATGACCTAGTGTTCCCAGTGGGGTCATGTGTGCCAAAGTACATAGGAGAGATGGGGCAAAGCATATGCATTTAAAAGAAAAACTGTGAAGCATGCAAAAATGCAATTAAGGGTTTACAGTTCTTCTTAATACATTAAAATGCATTTTCTCATGCAAATAAGTGACTGAGTTTGGCTTGGAAATTTGTTGGCTAGCTCTTCCACACGGTATATATTTTTCTTCTTTTTACAAAACATTCATCTGGTATGCACATGGGAGCTTTTCTTTGGTGCTGTGGTGTTAGCATTTTCCAAGTGGCAGCCAAACAAAGGCTATGTGCAGATCAGATCTCATTACATATTTTTAAAAATTAGCTGAATTCCACACCTTGTTTGCTTATTTCTCTTGTTCTTGTATTTCTTGCAATGCAAACTTTTCTGTTTATTAGAATATTTATAAACCACCCTTCATCAAAAGATATAAGTGTGCTGAATAATATATATGTCATACAACAAAATCAATAAAATTTAGTCATAAAATAGCATTAAAATAATCAAAATGCAGGATCACCAACTGATGCTTTTAAAATGCCTAGGCAAGTGGAAATGTTTTGAGCTGGCACCGAGATGATTGCAGGTTATCACCAGTCACCTGTCTGTAGCAAAGGTGTTCCATAAATGGGATGTCAGAATAGAGATGGCTTTTTCCCTAGCTGTCACATAACAAGTAAAGGATTTTAAATGGCAGCAGGCCACTATAATGAGAGGTTTTCTTGCAGGTACTTGTTTGCTATGGCATTTAAGGCTTTAAAATTAAGCACCAGCATCCTGAATTCAGCCTAGAAGCCAATAGGTAACCCTAGTATGGCTGCCTATTTGTTGCAGAGAAAGGGGATAAGGAGATCCTTTTGCTTCTTCTTTCATGATACTGGAATTCTGGACCATTCCATGAAACTGATTGATGGGAGAGTCTGAACAGGTAAAGGACATCCCATTTATGGAACACCTTTGGACAGTCCTTCACCCATACTTTGGAATTCCCTTCTACAAGGTGTAGTGATGGACACCAGTTTGATGCTGTAAAAGGGGATTGGACGAATGCATGGAGGACAAGGCCATCAGTGGCTACTAGTCCAGGTGGTGATGTGCCATCTCTGTTTCAGAGACAATATGGCTATTTATATGAATTGCTGCAGAACGTGGGCAGGAGGATGCACTTGTATTTTTGTCCTGTGGGCAGCTGGTTGGCTACTGTGTGAATGGAATGCTAGACTAGATGGACTTTGGGCCGATCCTGCACGGCTCTCCTTATGTTGTTAGAATAGCTCCCTTCATATCAGTATAATAGGATCCTGCCTGACTGTATCTATCAGCATTCCAGCAGTCGCGTTCAGAACTAGTTGAAGCTTCTGGATTATCTCCAAGGCTAGTTATTACAGTACTTCTATCAGGAAAGTACGAAGGCATGGAGCACAGTGGCCAAGAGCAGTTGTAAAACTGCATAATGAACCAAATCGGGTACAAGGTACTCAGAGTGGCCAGGGTCTTCAGTGACAACACTGGACCAAGCTATGCACCTGATCTGCTTTGAGTTCTGGAGGGTGCCAGATTCAAATGATAAAGTATTTTTATGTAAATTAGTTTGATGTTAAGGTCACTCTTTCTGAGATCTGCTTTACTAAAACTATGGGTACTAATAAACTCTTTTCATGTAAGACACTTCTCAGCATTTATCACTTTCTTATGAGGTTTGCATAGGATTTGGACCTCCTAGCTAAGTATATATAACTGTTGTATAGGATTGCTATAGATAATAACATAGGTAATGTAGGATTGTATTTGCAAGGTTATTTTCTTCTCCCTGCATGGAGAAACTGGGAAACATATTCTTTGTATCTTGTATACTTTGGTGCAAATTTTCTAAAATGTTGCTACAGATGCTCTGGCTACCAGTGAATAAGACGAATGGTTTATGAGTAATGAGCATAAATATCCTGTCTCTGAATATGTCTATACTGATTTCAGTAATTCACCTCATTTGTTGAATGTACATGTTTGTGTGTTTTAAGGTATGGACAGAAAGGCAAAGCCATAAGGATAGAGAAGATTGTCTACACAGGGAAAGAAGGCAAGAGTGCTCAAGGATGTCCTATTGCTAAATGGGTAAGAGTCGTGTCCACTTGACCACATAAATGATTGTTTTCACCTTAGCAGATAAAATCAGTATGTGATTCCTGTAATGAAGCAAGTGAATCTGAATACACTGTGCATAAAATTCTTCAGAGTTTTAGTCAGTTGTCCTAGCATAGATTTTAATGGAAGTATGATAAATCTACAAATGAATTTATAAATAAAAGTACTGAAGCACAAAGCAGATTTCAGAGTTAATGGATGTCTACTCTGGCCATATTTTACAGGAAATGCATGCTGAATTTCCTGAAAAGTAACCAACCAAAGGTATTGGTGAAGGATAGGCTGGACATGCACATGGAAGCATGTCATGAGCTGAGCCAGCTGGAGCTGGCCCCTCGGGAAGCCCCTTCTGACTCGCACTGTTTCTATGTATTAGTCTGAACTGAACAAAAAGTATAAGGAGAAAAACTGCCGTGCTTTGAAATGTATCTCATTCTTCCAAACTCAGTAAATGTTGCATATTTATTTAGTCAGAAATTCAATTATTTATTTGTGCTGATTTCCCCATAAGCTCAAAGCAGATTACAGATGAAATAAAAATAATTAAAATTTATAACATGCAGGAAATAACCAAGTGGCAGAAGCTGCACTTAGCATAGTAATTCATGACAATTTGATCCAATTGCTTTATTATTTTTAACTATTAATATGTAACATGGGGCACATTCCCATTCATGTTTAAACAGAAAGAAGACCTACAACTCCCAGCATGCTCTGGCCAGCAATGCTTCCTGGAGCATGCTGGGAATTGTGGGCTTTCTTTCTGTCTAAATGTACATAACATTACATATTTAGTAGAAGAATGACATTACCTTAAACTGAGTCTAACCACTGCTCTGTCTAGCCCAGTATTTTCTATTCTGACTAATAGCAGCTCTCCAAAATCCCAGGCAGGGGTCTTTTGCAACTTGGCTGCATGCAAGGCTCTTCAGGTGGAAATGCTAGATATTGAACCAAAGACTTTTTGCATGCAAAATGTGCTCTATCTCATGTTATAAAAATAGCTGCAATTTTCGAAAAAGTACTGAAATTCTATGTTTTAATGTATAATGCCAAAACTACACTTTGGGGGTGTTTTCTTGGATCTGCAGGTGATTCGTAGAAGTAGCACAGAAGAGAAACTCCTTTGCCTGGTGAGAGAGCGTGCCGGCCACAGCTGTGAAACAGCAGTGATTGTTGTACTCATCCTGGTGTGGGAAGGCATTCCTCAGAGCCTAGCGGACAAGCTGTACTCCGAACTCTCTGAAACTTTAAGGAAGTATGGCACACTCACAAACCGTCGGTGTGCTCTAAACGAAGAGTAAGTTAAGTATGTACTTATTTCCCTGAAAATGTGATCTAGCAATATCTTGAAGACCTAAATATAAGGGAAAATATTTTCCACTAAAGTTATGAACCTTATGTTCTCCTTGGATTGTTACGCTACCACAACGATTGCTTCATTTAAGTCTGTTTGTTCTTTATTATTATATTTATATCCCACTTTTTTCTCTCTTACAAGAGACCCAAGGTGGCTTACATGGTACTCCTGATGTCCATTTTCTCCCAATCTTTCTCATTAGGTTAGGCTGTGAGTCAGTGACTGGCAGCTTTATGGATCAGCAGAGACTGGAGCCAACACTTCCACCACCTCCAGGGTTTTGAGAGCCTTTGACAAATCCCCTAATGGGCCTCCTCCGTCCGGGGAGGGCCTCTCCCTTTGTCACCCTCTGCAGTTGCTGCTGTTCCTCTTTTTCCACACCAGTGCTACTTACTTGCTTGACAGGCAGGCCAGAGTGAGAGGCAGGTGAGCGAGTAGGTTGCAGAGATGCAGAGGAGCAAGCTCAGGTCGCTCTTGCAGTAGGCTCCTGGTGTGGCTGGGGCCCTTTGCCAGTGCCTGAGCCTGCTTCGCTTTGATGCCAGCCCTCCTTGAACCACTACGCCACACTGGCTACGAGAAGTCAGTCTGTTTACATGCTTGCCGTTTCTCCACATCCTAGTCATGGCTACCACACCTCTCATTATGCTGCATACCTAATACACTTCTGCAGCCGCAACGGCCCGTGTTCTTGACCTGCAAAGACCGTATGTATGAACCTTGTGTGGAAGGAATCCAGTTTTGTGTCTACCATTATTCTTTTCATATCCACGCTGCACAGATTTTTCCTGCAGCAAGCTCTGCTCAACGTAGAGCCATAACAGCAGCTCAGTAGCAAACTTCACCGCTGTGCCTAATTCAAGGATGTTTCACGGTCTGACGATGAAGACATGTGATTTGGAATATTCCCTTCCCTTCTCTTTCATTACTTTTTACTTATATATGAAATGTCATATCTGAATCAGCCTCAACATGTATTTAGAAGTATCAGCTATCTTCAGTGTCCTGGTTCATTGCCCAATTTTAGTGTGCTAAGAAGGGTTATTATACATTCTTCACAGTAATTTAGGCATAAGTAGTTAAAAAAAAAGCATACCTCAAACGAAGGAACAAACGGAAGTTAATCTTGGTGCCCCTTCTAAGCTAAGATCTTTTTCAGTGGCACCCCCTTGCCACATTTTCTGCTGCATCCTACCTTCTGGATCAGATTTGCTTGCACACAAAGTGCAGGCAGCTGCGAGAGGAGGGGAAACCTGCTGAGATCTTTGGTCTCCTCTCAGCAGAAGCATTTCACAAGCACTCATGGGATCTGTGGATCCAGTCCATACATGTCTAAGTGGAAATGACTGGGAAGGGTGGACAGACAGACAGATCCTCTTGGGGTTAATCAATTGTGTTTCACAGGTTGTCAGAAACTTATAAAGAAAATAGTTTAAAAATTGAACCATATAGAAAATTGCTGCTTGTAACAAATCAGGGTTTAGCAGCAGCAAGTGACTTAACTGCTTTGCTAAATGAAAGACTTTTATTTGAAGGACATACATAAGCTCTAATTTGCTACCATGTCAGAGGACTAGAGATGCACACTGGAGAAAAAATGTTTTCCGTTCTCATGTTTTAGATGTAAAAATATCTTATTGCTTAAAAATAAAACAGTGAACCAGGAGAAAGGATGCCTGCAGAAAAAATGGTTAGGAAAGTAGAATCCTTGGCAAAGAAAGTATTTTTTCCTCTCCGGCCATTTTCCTACATAAACCTCAATTTCTCCCTATTCACATCAATGGAGATCAGGGTAGGGAGGAAATAAAAAGAATTAATGCAAGAAAACAGCTGGAGGTTGACATATACACACACACATATAAACAAGACACCTGTTGCTTCGTGGTCTTTGACAGAGGGTGGGATTCTCAACCATTTTCTCTCATGCAGCCTTTCCCCACAAATAAAACAGAGGGAGAATCTGAAAAACACCCACATTTTTAATAAATAAAATAAATAGCATATAGTTCTGAATTAGTTAATTAAGATCATCTGGATTTATAATTATTAGAATTGACTGTGCCCAGGCTCTTTGACATGTTCTTTCTTTCAGATAAATGACTGCACATCCGTAATGGCAACAGAGTTTCTTAGGACACAATCCTATGGGTGTTTAGAGAGAACAAATCCTACATTTCCCCATGCAAGTTAGAGAATTCTAGGATCATAGGACTGCTTTCTGTCTAAGAGTGTGTAGCATTGCTCCATCAATCAATCAATCAGCACAAAGATTGGTTTTGATGAGCCACAGTGCTCACAGTTACCAGACTGCACGTGCAGCCTGTATCTAGGGGTTGCCATGCTGTGCGTACCTGAGGAAAAGCCCATGGGTTATGTGACTGTTGTTTAACCCTTGTATAACCCATCTTCACCATTGTCAAGTGACAAAACTCCTCCCAATCAAGGGTTGTATACAGTATATTCAAAAAGGCAGCTGTATGTGCCGCCACATCACTGCAACCTCTCCATGGGTTCAATAATCAATGGCAGAGTCTTGCATCATAGAAAAACTCTCAGGATTGTTTTCCTTCCTAGCTAACTTGCCCATTAAGTGCCCTGTGAGAGTGGACTGAGGAAGGGAAAGCTGTCTTCTTTTCGTGATTATCAGTAATCCTCACGTCAGCCCCTTGGGTTTCTAGACAACATTATGCTTCCCTTATCAAGTTGAATAAAACAGAGTGAACTTTATTTGACTTAGTGTTGTTGAGCTGATCTGCAAAATGATCATGACATGCGATCTTCCGGGCATAGGCACTTCACCAGTGTTCCTGTTGAGCTTTCTGTGTTGTTAGAAACACAACTCTCTTCTTCCTTAGACGAACGTGTGCATGCCAGGGCCTGGACCCGGAAAGCTGTGGTGCCTCTTTTTCCTTTGGCTGCTCATGGAGTATGTACTACAATGGATGCAAATTTGCCAGAAGCAAGATCCCAAGGAAATTCAAACTATTAGGAGATGATCCAAAAGAGGTAGGAGCATAATAAAATTGCCTCTGTTTCACTCCCTGGCACATTTCTATACCAGCTGTGGTAAAGAGATTAGTAAGAAAAGCATTACTAGCACAGTCAGATGATGGTTCTAGTTTTGCCAGGAGCTTGGCATGGCATCTGGTTTCAACCCTAGAACTTTTTAAATTGTTTTAAATTCATCTCAAAACATTTTGACCCTGGTCTTCTGTCTGACTGCTTGAATTCCGAGTAAGGGCACAAGCACTAACGTAAATTACATTTTGCTAGTGTGAGAGACCTCTCTCACAAAGCCAATTGAATTAACTGGCATGAAAGGACTTCCCAGAAAACCTATCGCACCAGATAACACTATTGGCCAGTAATTTATGTCAACATTTGTGTCTTAATGCATACTACTCTAACAATATGAACTTAGATAAAAAGAGTCACAGGATTTTAGAGTTGGAAAGGACATTGAAGAGTCTCCAATTCCCTGCTCAGTGCATGTATTTCTTCAGCTACATACATTTCAGAGAAATGTACAAGAACAAGATCCATGAGACAAAAGAATTTTTAAAATGCATTAAAATAGAATAACATTAAAGCAATGGCTGGACATGAAGCAAGGCTTCCAAAACCAGAGACTTCTTTAGTGAGTGCCAAAAACAGCATGGTGGTAGAGCTTGCCTGACGTTAAGGAATAAGAGAATTTCCTAGAAATGGACCTGCTATACTGAAGGCTCTTATCCTTGTGAATTCCATTCAGGCTATAAGTTTGTGTGCAACCACCAGGAGATTGTCTTGTGATGATGTCAGGGACTGGGGAGATTGGCATTCTCTCAGCCAATCTACAAACATCTGTGATATCTCTAATGGCTGGCCACCCAGCCCCTGCTTAAGTACATCCATTGGAAAGGCCACCATTTCCCAAGGTAAAGTGTTCCCATTGCTGAATAATTTAACCATGAGGAAGTTTCTCCTAGTGTTTAGTTGAAATCTGCTTCCTAGTCATTTCCACCCATTGCTTCTAGTGCTGGTTTCTGGAGCAAAAGAGAACAACTCTGCTCCATGACAGCCCTTCAGATACCTGAGGACAGGTCCTTTCTTCCCCAGGCCCAACATATCCAGCTATTCCAACACTTCCTTACAAGATTCTGCTTTTTATGTTCAAATGATATGTTGAGCAATGACAAAATGATAAGAAGTGGCAAACTTTTTATTTGCGGTCACTACAAAACAAATGAATCTAAGTGTTAATGTTTGAAATTGCTCTATTTCACACTAGGAAGAAAAGCTAGAAGCCAATCTGCAAACTCTATCAACTCTGATGGCCCCCACTTACAAGAAGCTGGCTCCTGATGCCTATAACAACCAGGTAGGTTGAAGAAGAGTTTGGTAACAGCACTAAAGAACCTGCTTTTTATTTTGACAACATGTAAGACCACTTACAATTAGAACTGAAATTAAAAGAAAAAAAATACTTGAGTGCATTCAAGAACTATATGCTTCATACCTTAAAGTAACAAGATATTCTTCTCACCCTGAAATAGCCAGGGTGCAATGAATCTTAGCTGGCCTTAAGGAGACACCGGCTTGCCCCTGGATGTTTGCCAATGAACCTTTTATTGTGTCATTGCCTTGCCTCCTTCATAGGAGAGTGCACCTATTCCATTTGGGGTGTGAAAAGATGATAGATGTTTCCAGAGTAACTCTGTGGATTTCATTCTGGTCCCCTGCCCCCCATTGCCATCTGCTCACTGTGGGGCACGTCAAACCAATATGTGGATCCCATCTTTCTAAAATTCTGATCTAAGTGATTTGCAGGGTGAGCAGGGGAAGATTTGGAATTTGCACAAATGCTGGTGTAATTTTATACATATACGCACAGGGAATCTTGCACAAGTTCACATTCTAGCAATTCAACCTGTCTGCTATGTAGCCCAGAGAGGTGCATCTAAATATCCTTGTCAGTTTCATCTTTGCCGTGCACTACCTTGTTTAGCTTGGCAGAGCCATATTCTCTACTTGTCAAAGAAGTTCCACCAACCCTTCTACTGGAAGTAGAAGATGAAATTGATAAATCCTTTGACAAGTACAGAATATGGCCCTATTGGGCTAAATGAAGTTGCTTCACGGTGCCTTCTGGTAGGCAGTGCTAGGTGCCCTCTGTCTGAAAGAGCCATTTGCACACCTGCTAAGTCTTTAAAACTTAGTATAAGTTGGGGGACGGGCGGGCGGGAAATCCTTGTCTTTCCAGCTCTACAAGTGGAAGTTGGTAAGGAAAAGAAAATCAGATCTTGTCTCCGAATAGCTCAGAACTGGAACTATTTGCATTCAAAGTTCCAGACAGCAAAGTCTTATTCTAGGTTATTCCCACTTATATCTTCTCCACCCTGGTTTTCCTTATCTTCCTCTCTCCATGGCTATCCAAGCATTCCATGGCCTCCAAGCATGACCAGGTGTTGGTGGTGGGTGTTTTGGGTTTTGTTTGGGGTGTTTTTTATTGCTTTGTGGGATCCCTGCTCATGATCATTTCCTAAAGACTCTTTTGCATGTCTCAAACCTTGGGCTTCCCCCAAGCTTGGTATTACTTTCTTCTTGTGTGGATGCTGCTGCTTTGGCTACATATGAACCCACACTCAAGAGAATGATGTTTCTCATAGTATATCAGGTGCATGCTATACAACATGCATACATTGTCTATAACCAGAGAACATATGTTGAAGAGGTAGGGAATCTCCACTTCATAGGCCAGGTATTGTTCACTGGGCTTTCTATCCAGCCTGCTAGTTTCTTCACTGATTCTCATCACATCTCCAGCCAGGAAATGGTGTTTACCTCTGATCAGCTGCTGACTGGAGAGAAGACCTTTCCCTTGAAGGGGAAAGGGAGAGAGGAATGAAGAGCAAGCAGCTGAATGATTAAATCCTGCTTTCTTCTAAGACCTGTCCTGCTTCTTTCTTGGCAGATATAGGCTTAGAAAGTTGCAACTTCACAGCTTGACCCCTGCAATCAACATGGTAGCAAAGATCCCTCCACCTAGATTTTTTAAAAGTTAAAACAGCAGTCCTATGATTTGCTGTTCCAATGGCATAGAAATTTAAACTGTAAAGTGTATTTTGGTAATGCGCATTTTTTGTTTCTAGATTGAATATGAACACAGAGCACCAGAGTGTCGATTGGGTTTGAAGGAAGGTCGCCCTTTCTCAGGGGTCACTGCCTGTCTGGATTTCTGTGCTCACGCTCACAGGGACTTGCATAATATGCAGAATGGTAGTACACTGGTAAGTCAGTGGTGCGTGCAGCAATTAGTGCATAGAGAACTAATTTCCTCTATTAAGTGCATTCTTGTTCATAATAATATGTATTTCTATTAAGCTGGCACATGATGGCTGTGAAAACAGTGAAATGCATATGGGAAGAGGAATGCAGACCTTCTGGATTGCAACGAAAGCAAGATGGAGATTCTGAAGTCTGTTTCTTAAAATTCTTGCCCATGCCCTTGTTGTTTATATTGTACAATGAATTGATATAAGATTAGAGAGTATCAAAAGCTATATATCAGGCCATGAATTGCAGGAACTAAGTTGGAAGTGCAACATCAAATGTCTTTATTTGAATCCTAAGCAACTTCATTGCTCCATGTGTACCTTTTCTAGCTCTGTATGGAGATCATGACATTCTTTTACTGGTTAGAAAAGCAAAGGGATTTGGATAGGATGTCCATGCATTCAAGAATGAGGGTGCTCTTCCCAGCTATGTGTCCTTCCCTCATTCAGAATAGCAACAGTCTAATGTCTCTTCTCACCTGGGTGAAACTTCTAAATCCTGTTAAATAAATAAACCCATATTTTTCTTGAAAATCCAAGTGCATAGCACAGGAAAAGGTATATATGTATACAGGCAGTTCCTGAGTTATGAATGGCTGACTTACAAACAACCTGTACTTACAAATGAACTGCCATAAAGCCTATTTAAACAACAACAACAATGCAAAATGTCATTATGATGAAGAATGAGGAAGCAGAAGGGGACAGAGTGAAGGCCTTCAAAGCATGCCTTCCTGCCCCACCCATCTGGAGAGGGCAATCTGGCGTTTCCCTGCCCCAAAGAGAAGGCACTGGTGAGTTGGGGTGGAGGTATGGATATTCATGGGTTTTTTTTTCACTTTCATGGTGTTCTGTGCCCCAAACCCCCATGAATGGGGATAGCCAAATACAAACTTCACTTAAAGATAAATTTCCATTTTCTCAGGAACAGAGCTCATTCATAACCCAAGCACTGCCTGTATGTGAATTCATAAAAACAGAAGAGCTGTGCTGGATCAGACCAGGGGTCCATCTAGTCCACTATCCTGTTCACATCGTGCCATGGGAAGCACACAAGCAGGACATGAATGCAACAGCATTCTCACACCCTTTCGTTTTATTGGTCACAGAACTCCATGTACCCCTGCCCAGCTGAATGGAAGTTTCTGTCCTCTTCAGGCACTAATTCCTTGAGTTCCCTAAGTCTGGTGCTCAACATCACATCTAAGCAGAGGCACGATTCCCCTCTGGCTGCTGCAGGCCCAGGAGAAAGACAGCTGGGAGGCCCACAGCAAGTTCCACAAACTAGTGACACCATCTGCATCATGCAAGACAGTTAAGAGTGCGGATGAAGCTGTAGTGGAAACTTTAGCGTGAAGTTAGAGCCTTTTAATGGTTGATTGTGTAATACCACTCTGAGAATTTTTATTGAAATATTATAGCCACCTAGGAAGGCCTCGGCAATTACAGGCAGCCTAGAAATACATGTAAACAAATAAATGTTAGGTCTAATATTTTATGTATGTGTTGCTTAGATCCTTGGAGGTATGCTACAGGGTAGAATCACTATTATCCTGCTGGATGATGCTTTCTGTGAGAAAGGGACAGATTGGAACAGATTGCCCTCCCTTATTCCATGTTATGCACAAGCTGTAGCGAGATGAAGAGTTAAGCCAAAGTTTGTTAAGCCAAAGTAGCCATGGCCAAAATGGGAAGGAAACAGAGCTGCAGCAGCAGCTGGGAAGCACTGCTTGTCAGGACTGCCAAGCAAGGCTTCCTTTGGATTCATCTCTGAGCCGCTGTTTCCAACAGAGGAGGAGGCCAGCTGCTGATCATTCTCTGGCTGATGGACATGTTCGAACTTCTGTTCTTCATTTACAGGAATCCTGGCTTAGGGAAGGGCTTTCCCCAGCTTGGTTCCCTCCAGATGTGTTGAGCTACAACTACCATGGCTGGCTGGAAATGATGGAAGTTGCAATCCAGCACATCTGGAGGGCACAAAACTGGGCAAGTAAGTTCTACAATCACATTGTAATATCTAGTCACGTCACGTCATTCCACAGAGCTACTATATAGAATGGGAGACAAAGAACAGAGGAAAGGAGAAGGTATTTTAAAATTTGGGATCAAAAAGCCATATGCATTATAATGTAGTTGTCCAGAAATAAAGAGGCTGCTATTCAACCTACAGGTGCATTGGGTGTTTTTAAGAGTTTGCAACAGTAGTTGCAGGTCAGTGCCAACTGCAGGTGTTTGAAGGCACCCTCAATTGGCCCCTCCATCAAAAAGTCTACTTTCTCACTGCCGTTGGCACCAGCTCCTCTTGCTCCTCTTTTTCCATCTCATAATTTCTGCTTCTTGCTTGTCTATCCAGCAGAGAGCCAGGGAGCAAGGTGAAAAGAGCAGGTGCGGTGTAGTGGTTCAGAATGCAGGACTGGGATTCAGGTGATCTGGATTCTGGTCCTCACTCAGCCACGATGCTCAGTGGGTGACTTTGGGCCAGACACAGACTCTCAACCAAGCCTACCTCACAGGGCTGCTGTTGGGGAGATAAGATTGAGAGAGAAAGAGGAGAATCATGTAAGCCACCTTGAGTTCCTTGAGAGGAGAAAAGGCAGACTATAAATATAATAAGTCAGAGACATTAACCTTCTCCCCACCATCTCTGTCTGGGCAGGAGTGAGAGGCCAGAAAATAAGCTGGTTACAATGGTTAGAAGGATGATCAACCCCAGTATTTTTAATACATTTGTTTATTACATATTCATACCTAGGGTATGGGCCTTTGGCAGGCACGTACCCATGCTTACCTCTGAAGCCAACCCTGGCAAACATCATTAATGAGTTCTGCTGTGCTGAGATCATTCCATTTTTTCACAGGTGTGCACACTAACCAGAGAAGACAATCGTGAAATTGGCCAGACCCCAGAAGATGAACAACTGCACGTACTCCCTTTGTACAAAATTTCCAATGTAGATGAGTTTGGTAGCACAGAAGGGCAGGAGGAGAAAAAACGGAATGGCAGCATCCAAGTCCTTAGTTGTTTTCGACGAAAAGTAAGGATGTTGGCTGAACCTGTAAAGACCTGCCGGCAAAAAAAGATGGAAGCCAAGAAAGCAGCAACAGAGAAACTGGCATCCATGGAGAATGGGTCTACCAAACATGACAGAGAAAAATCAACCACAACACGTCAAAAACAGACCAGCTCGGAGGCATCAGGCCATGCAAAACAGCTAGCAGGTATGGTTCTGGATGAGTACCTGCCAGCCTTCCCCGCCCTAGTATCCTCCAGATGTCTTGGACTGCAGCTCACATCATTCCCAGACAGTATGATGGGGATTGCATTGCAGCACACCTGGAGGGCAGCAGGTTGGGATGGCAGGTAGGTACATCTTTGTACACAGTTCTGTTACATGCGCCATTTGTTTTAGTTATCCTTTGGAGGATGAGAAATGTGAAGTAGATGAGGTCAGATTCAGAAAAAGCATTCCACTTTCCTTAGGCTTCCCTAGTTCAGATTCAGAATATTTTTAGTCTGTAGTGCTGGCCTTTACTAAGGCAGAAACAGGATTAGATTCAAGCAGTGAAGCTCAACCCACAGTTGTTTAAAGCTTAGAAACATAAGAAGCAGTTGTCTCATGTCTAATGGATAGCCCAGTTTGGTCTACTCTGACTGGCAACATCTTTCTTCGGGGCTTATTGAATTGTTCAGCTGAGACGCAAGTTGAAGTAACTGAAACCTCCATGCTAATGGGGTTCCGCTGCATGTTCTTTTATCATGGATTTCAAAGTTTACAATCTGAAATGGAAAACAGAAAATAAGGTTACTTAGGGTGCAATCCTGTGCATGCTTAGACAGAAAGAAAAAGCCCTAAGATTCCGAGCAGTCCCCAAACAGTATGGGGAATGCATTATTTAATGGGCCACCTTCAGTAGGAAAACTCATTGTTCTGGAAGGAGGATATGTTTGTTGGGACCATTGCAAGGAAGGGGAGGAGGTTTAAACTCCCCTCACCAACACTGTGGTCTCAGTTATGCTCAGCTGCCTGGTGGTGGACTAATTCCACTGTATATAGTGCAAGTAATATCATTCTCAAAAATACAGCAATGCATTTAACAGCGTGTCCAGTTTGGCCTTTAGGTGTTCATGTGAATGGGCTTTTTGAGTTCCTGTTTAAAACACACACACACACACACACACACACACACACACACACACACACACACAGCCTCTCCATGCATGGAAACAGTCCTTCCATAACAGTATTGAAGCTTCCACTGCTCTATTTCTCCTACAGCTTTCTGCACAGCGAATCTGCACAGACACTTCCATGGCACCAGGGGTGGGCAGGACCTCTCCCTGAGGCAACAGAAACTAGAAAATGAATTCTGTGCATGTGCTATGGATTCTTTCTCTTGTCAAAAGCCACTTCTTCCCATCCCCTGCCCTTTCTGTCTTTGTCCACAGATCTGTTACGTCTTTCAGGAACAGCCGTGCCACAGCAACCGCAGCTCTATCAGCATCCACACCATGGCCTCCCTACGAAGCCTCAGTCAAATCACATCAACTCATACTCTTCTTCAGGTCACACCAACCTTTACATGGGCCTACCTAATCCAGCTAACCCTTATCCAAACACTTCACATCCTTCAGGTCCTTATGGGGGATCTAGTTCTGTGAATAGCTACGCAACGTCTTCTCAACCTACAGGAGCTTATCTGAATTCTTCCAGTCTCATGAATCCTTATTCTGTACACTTGGGTCAAAATAATCAGTATCCCTATTATCAATGCAATGGAAATTTGCCTATGGACAACTGTTCTTACTATAGTTCCTATTCCTCTCAGTCTCAACATATGGACTTGTTTAGGTATCAGAGTCAAGATACTCTGTCTAAACTAAGTCTACCTCCAATTCATACATTATATCAACATAGGTTTGGAAGCCACCAGAACTTTGGGCCCAGGAACTTGAATTATGGAAACCAAAACATCCAGGTAGATGCTTTCAACAGCTGCACCATTAAACCAAATGTTCAGCATGCAGGTTCTTTTCCTGCTTACTCCACGCATGAGGCCGATGACTCCTTTATGGACATTGCCTCTCGACTGAAATCTAATTTAAATAATCCAGGCGTGGACTACATGAGTAAAAATGGAGATCATCTCTATCCCCCTCCACACCTAACTCATGACTACCACTCCGCTGCAAGTATGTTCAATGGTCCTGCTCATTCACTCCACCTTCAGAACAAGGATACTCAAGTCGCTAATGAGTTGTCCAGTGTGCTTCCAGCTCTTAACCACAATAGGACTGCTTCCCAAGAAGGCATAAATAAAACTGAGGTACACAATGCAGAGGATCCTGATGAGGTCTGGTCAGACAATGAGCAGAGCTTTCTGGATCCAGATATCGGAGGTGTGGCAGTGGCCCCATCACATGGGTCAATTCTCATAGAGTGTGCGAAACGTGAGCTCCATGCAACAACCCCACTGAAAAACCCTAACCGGAACCACCCCACAAGAATATCACTTGTCTTTTACCAGCACAAAAGTATGAATGAGCCAAAGCACGGCCTAGCTTTGTGGGAGGCAAAGATGGCTGAGAAGGCAAGAGAAAAGGAGGAGGAATGTGAGCGCTATGGTCCAGATTATGTGCCTCAGAAAGTGCATGGGAAGAAAGTGAAACGGGAGCCTGTCGAAATGAATGAAAACTTGGAACCAACCTACGTGCGCTTCATCAGGTCACTTGCACAAAGGACAGTGTCACCCACCACAAACTCCACAGTCACCACATCTCCATATGCCTTTACACGGGTTACAGGGCCTTACAACAGATATATATAGAAGTCAAATCTATGTTCATTACCTCATCTGTTTCTTTTGTTGTGTTTTTCTTTTTGGAAAAAATGTCAGCAAGGTAATAATTCTCTTTAGGTTGTAAACAGGGAATGGTCAAGAGACAGTATATTTTTTTTAATTTGTCCATGGGAAGTCCTCCTCATACCACCACATTTATTTGGCAAGTGGTCACAGGCCATGTGTTAAGAATGAAAACCAAAGCACCCTATGCAAAATTAAATTTGTGACAGTCGCCAGTTAACCGTGAAGTACTGATTTGACCATTGGAAGACAGAATCCATATTCATACTTTTTAAATTTTTCCATCTGTGACCATTTTAATGAAAAACAAATTGAGAAAGGTTTTTGTTCGTTTGTTTTAAAGTAAAAATACTGTAATATTTCAGTAGCTGAAATTTTAAAAAACCAGCAGGTGCTGAATCTATGATGTACTGAACTATTGGAACTACAGCTTGCTAATATGCAGGGGTTAGTTTAGGGTGTTGTTGTTGTTGTTGTTGTTGTTTTTTTGCTATAATCTTAATATTGACTTGATTTTTATTAATCAGGATAGCTATATATATAACAAAGAATACAAAGCAAAACACTGAATTTGTTTGGATAGTCTAAAACATGGTGCTATATACAAGAATGGTGTCTAATGCAACATTTGAACAGTTTTATGACTTTTATTGAACCATGAATATGTTAACAGTATACTCTGTTCTCCTTGAACTGTAAAAGGGCCTTTTAATTTTGTATTTGTATCCAGTTAGCCTGATCCTATTTAAAAGTCCTATTTTTAAAATATGGGAGGAGCAAGGACCAAGATCCAACAAAGCTTTATGGACGCAATAGGAAGGTTGCATGTGAAGATGGAGCTCTCTGAAAAGCTTCCAATTACAGCCAGTTTACCTTTCCAGCAATGGAAATCTCATCTAGAGAATAGCCTGTTTCAGATGCAATAGCAAGCCCTAGGTGAGCGTTACATTAATGAACTGTGAGCCTCACTTTCTCTTTCCTTCTCTACCATGAGGAAGAAGTTGAAAAAAAAAGCTTCCTGTTTTAAGCTAACTTGACTTTATCATTACATTGAAACTGAAAAACTCTGTATAGCTTAAACAATGGTTTGCAAACAAATGCTGTTCAAACCAAGGTTTATTAACCTGGCCTGTTAACAAACTACAGTTTAAGCTAACTAGACTTTCTCGAGTTTGATTGTAATGTTTAGTGACTATAATGACAAACTGATTCATCTGAAAGTGTATGTGGATGCTTCCTTCCTGTGACCACAGTGGAGGAAAAGTGGGAAGCATGTGAGTTGCAGGTTGGTTTCTGGAAAGTCATGCAGTGCGAAACTATTGCAAACTGCTCTTTCTGCTCTATATATCAGTTTATAGCAAGATAAATGCACAGCAGTACATTTCTTTTATTTGATCCAGGTAGCTTCTCTGATGGCAGCTTTAGCTTTTATACGAACATAGCGTTTTCTCAGCATTTGAATCACACTGGTCACCATCATGGGGTGCCATAGTGGAACTTTTTTTTTTTTTACACCCAGTTCCCTTGGCTGGACAGGCAAACCAGTTTAGAAAGTAAATGTGCTCTCCTTCTTTCACCAGCTGATCCACTGCTGTAAAAAAATCAAGAACTGTTCTACAGCAGTTTTGTACTGCAGCTCATAGTGTTACCGGTAAGCAGTCATAATCTCCTCCATGACTTGTTCTGGTGATGTGCAGGTTGTTCCCCCCTGCAAACAGAAGGTCGGTTAGTTCAGCTGCTTAAGAGTGTCGTGCTGATACCATCAAGTTTGTGGATTCATTCCCCATATGGGCCACAACTGAGTATTTTTCTTTTTAAGAGTTCATTTGTTAATCTGTTGTCCAAACATTTCATGTAATCTACATTTGAGAGCCAGTGTGATAATAGTGGTTAAGAGCATTGGACTGGGACTCAGGAGATCTAGTCCCTACTCAATTCTTCAAAATGAAACAAGGCAGGATATAAATAAAACTAATTAATTAATTAAAAGTAGTGAGGCAAGGCTCAACAGCTGGCTTAATTCAGGTCAGGTTTTTCCATTCATGCAGGACTCTCAAGTCCCAATCCAATGCGCTAACCACAGAAACACACGTAACCTATTTATCATCGCTGTCCTATACCATGGCCCAACTAGTGCCGTGTTATGTGGGCGAAAGAACCCCAGGGGAACCAAAGGCTCATCGAGCTTACAGGCCAAAAATGTCTGTTTGACCATGAGGGAGCTTGGCTACTAATGAGAAGGGATGCTGAGTGAAAGGGTCGTTGGCCATGCTGGCTTGGAATTGTTCAACCCCCCTGCGGGGCACCAGTCTGGGGAAGGCTGGCTGATGCAAAAAATACTGGCAAAGCCCACATGCAAGGCTTGGGTCGATTGGCAAGTCCAAACGTTTGCTCAGCGCATGGTGCTCATTCTCCCCACCACCACCCCAGCTCCTATATGTTCATATAAGCTTTGTTGGATCTCACTGAAGTTTACCCACCCATTCAAGATGTGATTCAGAACAATAAACAATAGAAATATATTTTTCAAATGGTGCTTGAAAAGCACTTTATTTAAGTGTTGGCAGCTCAACAAGTGCTAGGGCACTAAAACATTGTAAAGTTTATTTTGATCTTACTGTTCAAAGAGATCTTTTCTAAAAAGGCAAAGCTTTTGTTCTTAGGAGCAAGACATAATCCTCAAATGACACAATATGGTAATTGTGTGGCTTGGAGTTAACCCTTTCCTTTCTTGTTCTTAAGCATAAAGGGCCCTCCTCGTATTAGGACCACTATACATGGGCATGGGAGCTTGACTGCCCGCCCCCCTTCAATTTGTTCTCAAAGTCTCTCCTTCCCTCTTTGTGCCAATGGAGATTTCTTTCTGTTTCTTTTAGATTGGGGGGCGGGGGGGACAAATTTCAAGAAACAGGTGGGGAAAAGGTTGAAACCTCTCCTGTCTATGGTGCTGACCCAGGCTGGGCTTCCACGTGCTTTCCTTGCAAAAAGAGGATAGGAAGCTTCTCGCTACTTATTTAGCTTATCCAGGCAGTTTTATTCCAAGTATGGTGGGGGAGTCAGTGCAGAGGAGCACTAAGTCTGGGTGCTCATCCCTGCCCCTGCCTGCATTTTCCTTCTCTCTTGCTGTCAGCCTCTTGCCCATACATCTACCAGCAGAAGAGAAAAACACCCCGTCAGATTTCTGCTCTAATTCAGACATGGGCTCACTGGATACAAGGAATATCCTTAGTATACAAACCCCATTCTCTGGTGCTCATCTCACACGACTGTATTATGAACCTTTTTTAAATAATTATAACGGTAAGCATATTCCTCAAATTGTGTAATTTTAATATATCTATTAGCCACAGGTAATAACAGCATGGATTAGACTTGACAATTGGATAGTTTTAGTCTTCTGCTACCTTTTGAAGGTTGGAAAAGTTCTCCAAATAACCAGGTGAACTGCTTTGATGTTTGATGGATTATTTATGTTACAGAATATGTCACTGCTCGGAGTAGGTTGCCCCTCTTTGCTGTGGTTTGAATGGAATCCAGGCAAGAGGTACAGGGTTAATCTGTAGGATTTTATTGGTGAAAAAATTCAGAACAGGGCAGCTGGCTTGCTGTGGTGGGTTTTAAATTGGTAATTTGTATAAAAACATAAGCAAAAAGATGTATAGTAACTTAACTTGTAAACAAATTTTTAATGCAGTGCTTTAGTATTTTAATACTGTACAAATATATAAATATATATATTATATCTATATATCTATATCTATATGGGTTTGGAGCTGAATTCACATCATGGTGCTACTCAGCCTGCTATAAAAATATAATGTGAGTTAAAATACATTAAAATGTTTAATGATGATCCTGTTGCCATATACCTCAACACTAGTTGGCAATAGGTTGTTAAACTGAGAGTGGAAGTTTATAATGTTCTTATACCATCTTCCCTTAACTCTCTACCCCCTAGTCTTTGGAAAAAATATATAATTTTTCTCACTACTTGATATTATAGCAAGTATAACTTGAACTTTGACCTTAATTTTTTTTGTTCTAAAACTTCAGGGATATATCAGCTCATGATCTCCTTAGCAAGCCAACATATCATCCCAAGTGTATGAGAGAGAGAGAAAGAGAGTGAGTGAGCGAGCGAGCGAGCAAATGAATGTGTGCGTAAAGCTATGTTGTGTGCTGTTAAATATATTATCTTTTTTTGGGGGGGTGTTAAATTCTATTTTATTGTTTTCAAGGATTTAATCTGTGTGTTTTTTAATCCCTCTTCTAATTTTACTTGTAATTGTACCGATGGTAACTAAAATGCTCTTTTTTTGTAAATTCATTTGCTACTTTTTATGTTAATGAAAGTGTGTTAACATTTTAAACTCTTGGGGATTTTTTTTTAATGTTTCACATAAAATGGAAAGTAGAATGCACTGAGCTGGCAAAAGGGAAAAAGTAAAGGTAAGGATTTGGCAACTGACTTGTTGAGTAGAGGACTGTGTTTGGTGTTCCTCTTCAAGTTCTCTTAGAACATGCCTTATGATGAGACTGAAAGTAAATGAAACCAGTGGGCAGCAGAGTTAGGTAATCAGGCAAAACAGAGTGCGGTCCTAGGCTTGCTTGGACAGAAAAATGCCCTGTAGCTACCAGCATACAGTCTTGATGCAGTATAAAGTTATAAATGGCCACTAATTATGATGACTGTATCCCACGTCCAGGTGAGAGGTGCCACATCTTTCAATGCAGCTGGGAGACAGGACTATATCATTCTCACCTCTTGCTTTAGGGCTTCCTGGAAGTGTCTGTTTGGCCACCATGGGAATCAGGTGCTGGACAAGGCAGGCCTTGGCCTGAACCATTAGAGCTCATAGAAGGATTTCCTTTTAATAAATGCAATCCCAATGCTCAGATGTGTCAAGCTGTGTAAGGCAAAGGCCTGCCTGACCATGGAATGCTGATCTGTGTCATATTGATTGCCCCTCTAACATTAACAAGATTCATCCAGTTTCATAAGACTAACCTTTGCAGGACTAATGCCACAATTTGGACTTTTTATCAGCTATGTTTCAGTCCAATAACTCATTTCAGTCAAAGGAGGCCTTCTGATTTTCTGTGACCACCTTATTCTGTAGAAGAGGCTAAGATCAAATATATGCAAAACAGCAGTTCAATATAGATGCCATGAATTCAGATGCATTGAGGCTTACAGTGCGCCATCATTAGCAGGCTGTTATGACATCCAGACAATGACGTCTTCCACTCGTAACTGTCCGACATTTTCCCACCAGTTCTTCCACGTTTTCCTTACTGCAGAAAACCCATTAAGGGAAGAAGATGAAGTGGCTACATTGTGCTTTCTTCATTGCTCTGCGAGTCCTGCATATGGAAGCACCTAAAGTTTTGTCTTTAAAATGTAATAGTAAAATTAGCTGGGCAGTCACCCAAAGCTGGGGGTTGGCAAGGGGAATCTCTGGTGTGAACTCAGACCAGCACAAATGGTGGCTGCTCTGTTATTTCATCAATACTGTAGAAAGTTCCACAAGGGCTCCCTGACATTCCCTGATCTTGCATAGATTCCAACTTCTTCTCCATGCATGGAGCTCCACATGAACATTAGAGTTGCTGGATCAGGGAACTTGGGGAACTTTTCTCAAAATGTTGATTAAAGTACATACTAGGCTGGATTGCCAAAGAACCATGAGCAGCAGCCAAAGAGCTGCTCTTGTCCTTTTGCACACATTAGTTTAAGGGAATTCACACACAGAGCTATAATATGTAGAACAGTTCTAATGCTTCTGCTTGTGCATGAGCCTACATGAGTGGAAGGACGATTCTGGGTTAGGTATCATTTTTCCTGCATAATGCTCCAGCTTCAATTAGAAAAATAGCACTCACCAAGTGGAACCGGATCCAAAATGGAACTAGGTGTCTTTGTTTGGCTCCCCTTGTCATTTGCCAAATTGCTTGCAAACAGAGGAAAGCTCAGTTGGGGAGGTGGGGGAGAGAAATATATTTTGTAAATAAAAGTTGTGATTTTGATGTACAGAACCCTGCCTCAGAATGAATAGGTGCAGGGAGCAGACATTAAATTGCTTGTATAGGATTATCAGGTTGACTGTAGCCATACTTGAAGATGCTTCTGAGTGGTGTCAACTTTACTTGAATGATTTTTCCCTTCTTCATCTTGATTGACGCACAGTAGCGTACACTTTTAAAGCTAGTGGTTAACTTTTGTGTAGGAAACTTTAACAATTTGACACTAAGATTATGAACATTTTAAAAAATGTGCATTTTCTAAGCTTATGTTCTATTGTTTCAGTTTTTTAAATTTTTACTTTCCCTCATTCTTCAAATGTTCTTTTTTGTTTTTGTCCATTAAAAAAAATCTGAGAATGGTTATAAATACTGTAAGTATTGTAATGTAATGTATGCAGGTTATTTGAAAATCTGTTTTATTATATCATTCCTGATAACGCTGAAATGTGGGTGTTTTTAATAAAATTTATATTTATTTAATGCACTCTATACTTGTCTTGTGAAAAGGTGTTTGTCCTGTTCAGTTGGTGCCCATTTACAGAAGGGTTACAGAAACTCAGCTCTGGATACTTACAGATAGCCACGCTCCCCGTTGTCCTGGATTTTCCTGGGTTTTGTCCTTCTTTTTAGCCTTCCAGAAAGGGTGAAACTTCTCTCTTCAGGCTGACTGATCGATGGCACATCCCAAAATACGGCTCTTGTTTGCCCCCCTCCTTTTGCCTTTGGTTCAGCCCACTTTGCTTTCACTCCTGCCCATCACTGGGCTGTGGCGCCTGGCAGCTTCTCCAAAGACCTCCACTGGAAAGAAATTTCAATGGCTCCTCACACTCAGCATGAATAATAATAAGCAAAGTAACCATATTCTGGAGGGACAAAGCCCTATTTTCTTTTGATGTTGGGTGGCCTGGCCTCTGGGATAACCAGCACATGTGCCCAAACCTTGCCCATGGGACAGTGGGATGTTCTCAGAAATGTAACTCATGAAAATAACTGTTAAACTTTGGCTCCCTCTACTGGACAGTTATATAGTATGTAGCTAAGTTTGTTTTTAAGGAGGAGAAGGTACTGGGGTCCTCTCCTGGTCCCTTTTCCCGCTTTTTCATATTTTGGGAACTGCTGAGGAAGCAGTCAAGCCATTCAAAATAATATAAAGGCTTAATTAAAACTAGTAATACTTGGCAAAGTCAGATGAAAAATTTGGCTTAAACATTAAAACCACTCAGGACTGACAGGCCTCCTAGGATTAGGATGATGTCCATCATTTGTTGTTGTGAGAGGCCATCAAGTTGTCTCCAATCCATGGCAACGCTATGGCTGAATGCCCTCCAAAAGGCCCGTCCCTGACAGTCCTTGTCAACACAAGGCTTTGACTTCCTTCTTGGAATCAAGCCCACTCATAATAGCTCTTCGTCTTCTGCCACTGACTTTCTCTAGCATGATTGTCTTTTCTAGTGAGTCTTGCCTTAAGTGCCCCAAGTGGGACAGCTTCTGTTTTGTCATTTTTTCCCAGGGGAAGTTCTAATGAATAAAATAACTTAATGGATAGGTTCACAAATTCAGCCAGACTACCCTGTTCAGAAGACACCATAGCCTGTGGTGCACACTAAAGATAATAGAGTTTTGTATATACTGTCCTTCCTTGCTTTCCTCCTTAGTTTTTTTAGCTATTTCTGACACATATTGCAATGACCTTGCAGCAGAATCTGTCTGGACTCCCCCGGCCTGCTTTGATATCCCTTTCTATTCACCATATTCCTCCTCCCTGTCCTCAAAAAAGCAGTTAGGGTTGTATTTCTTTTCAGCCCCTGAAAACTACATTGTTTAAAGCTGAGGAAGGGGGTCAGTCTTCACAATGCATGCTTAGAGCCACCCAATACGTGAGATTTTTGCCTGGTCAATTTCCTGGTCTTTTTTAGCTGCCAAAGGGAAGACAAGTAGAGATTGCATATAGGCGAATCTACACACATTTGGAAGGCACCAAGTGCCCAGCTGTCAATGGAAAAACATCAATGAAGAGCAAAAATCAGCAAAGGTAGGTCCACCAAGAGGACCAGCACATCATGACATCCCCTTTGCAATGAATGCTCAGTTCTGAGTGCTGAAGTGGAACATGTGTAGCACTTCACCTTCTCTTCAGCAACTCCAGAAAAAGATATTATCTCCCCATCACCACCACCTTTAGGGGCATTACTGCAGCTACACAAGTTTCCCCTCCATGTATTTCCCAGGCCTTAAATCCACATGAACTTCAGCTTCCTCGACTTCTCCCCCATTAAATTTGCATATATTCTCGCAGGTATCCACAGCAACTGCAGCAATAAGTGCTCCAAAAAGTAGCCGTGTAAAGGTGGAATGAATTGATATCTCCCCTTTCTGGAGTAGGGGACACTCATGGAAACATTGAAAAGGTGGAGCATAGCAAATAATCAATTCAAGAATTAAAACCCAAGAGGATTCTCTTGCTAAGGGGGTGGTACTGCCCCCAGCCCTTTCCCCACATTTTGCCATTTACTGGTGCTTTTCCGTGGACAAGTGTCCTGACCACTGTGTGCAGATTAACCGGCATGCAGTTTTGCCTTGCAATAAGAAGAACACTGCTGGCTCAGTCAGATCTAGTCTGGTGCTCTGTTCCCACAGCAGCCAGCCAGCTGCCTCTGGGAAGCCCACCAGAAGCATCCTCCAGCCCATGTTCCCCAGCAACTGGCATACTCAGGTACGTTGCCTCCAATAGTGGAGGTAATATAGAGCTATCATGACTGGTAGTGTTCATAGCCTTGTCCTTTATGTATTCGTGGAAGCCCATTCAAAAGCCATCCAAGCTGGTGGCCTTTGTTGTACTTGGTATTTAATTCAATTGTTTAACTATGTGCTCCGTGAAGCATCTCGCTCATCTGCTATTCCTTGCAGCTCAGTGCAGCCCATGCTCATTCTCCCTTGCTGATTCCATGGATGATCCAGAGGGAAAGTTACATAAGGGTGCCATCCTAGGTGGCCACCCATCACCCTCTGAACTCCGGCTGCTGGGGACATCCAATCAAGTGAACAGAAGCAAAGTTTGCCTCTATGGTTCTTTCATCCTGCAGAAGACATAGAGGGTCAATTTTAGCCATCCATGTCTTTTGCCTTGGCTCATGAGGAGCAGGAACTGAGGCACAGTTAAGACTCCTCATGTTCTAGTGCAATTTCACAGCCCCTGCCCAGAGCATGCGCTCTCTCTCTCTCTCACACACACACACAAACACACACCTGCACCAGCTCCAAAGTTGCCCTTACAGTTCATCGCCTCAGCCAGCATGGAAAGGACCCTGCCAGGCGGAGGACCAGCAGTGTTGCAAGGTCAGACTCCCACCTCTGACCACAGCACACACCTACAAGATCAGGGCTGGCACTCTGGCCTATCCTATGGCTGTCTAGACAGCAACTAGTGACCACAACATTGCATCGTTAGTCTCTCACAGCAAACCACAAAGAAGAGCTGCAAGGCATGCCAACATTTCCTAGATTTAATATGGCACAGTCTTCATGCACTTTATTACCTGTAGGGATTATTCTCAGTTGCCAGATGCTCCTGCCCACACACACACACACACCGGGGCGGGGGGAGATTATGCAGACACACAAACCCACAGGCCCCAAATCCTAGGAAAGAGCTGCCCTCTTTGACATTTTTGTGTGAGTTGAAGCTGCACACTGACCATTCAAAGCAACAGTAACTGATGATGGAACTGACCCTTCCTAACTTTCCTTTGCTAATCCGGCATTTATAGTGTGAAAGCAAACCTGGGGCTTGATTGGATCTTACCTGAAATGAATAAAGCTCAGTGATAAATTTGAGCTGAGTAATTTAACACTGGAAATCCCCCCTTGAGGTTTGACATTTGAAACACTTACATTTGTGTCCACTGGGCTTCAAGCCATAGATGCGGCCTCTCCTGCTTCAACCTTGTCCCTGTTTGTCCATTTTGTCCCCATTGCCCTGTCCTCAGAATCTACATGGAAAGCATCATTCTTGCATATAAAAGCTTTGCAGTTGTCCTTTTGCCACTTTGGAGCAGATACAGACAAGAAGAGCTGACCGGCATGCATGATCCAATTGTTTTAGTAAAAGCCAGGGGAAAGCTGCATTGATTCCCAGCCTCATGGACATAAGAATCCAAAATTGTTCAGAGTTGCCATTAATGCAATTTCCCCTGTGAAACCAGAAAGAAGCAGAGTGACTGCTCATTCGGAGGTAACATAATGGCAGCAGAAGAAGCCAAAATTGCTTTTCTGAATTCTTGCTCACTGCCGCTATAATTGGGCACCCCAAGGTATTCAGTTCTCAGTCACAATGCGCACTACTCGCGTCTGCGATCACATATCACCGAACCAACAGCTCAGGCACATTTTGAATTGGTTTGTTATTAATGTGGTCAATGAAAAATTGTAATGATGGCCTGAAAATCTTCTATGGATCCCTGGGAAATATGCCTCAAAAAGCAGGGGAAAATCCTTTGCTGTCCTGACAGCAACAAAGTTAGATGGAAAAATTAGTCCATGCCTGACATTTAATGATGCCACCTCTCATCCTTTAGTAGACCACTTGGAAGTTGAGTTCACGAGAATTAGGTTCTTGCCGGCAAATCACTAACTCTGTACAAGAGAGCTAGCTCCTGACTGTGACGGAAGTTCAACGCAAAGAGGCTGGCCCACAATACAGAATATTCACGTGGTGCTCAGCCATTTAAAGCTAACTGGGAGAAAAACCCATACTGAACAAAGAATTCCACTCTGCAAAGAACATTCCTGGGTCTCCAATGTCAGTAAATTCTCCTGATTAAAATATCTGCAATGTGCCCCACTTACTGAAGTAACTGAGGCACAGTGTCTACCCCCTACAGGATGCTTCAAGATTTCTTTGCCAACTCACCACCCAAATTTAACGGTGAGGCTGTAAACTACAGGGGATGAGCTTGACTCAAGTCTCAGATTCCTAGGACACCCCTGAAAAGAGCTGTTTTCAAGCCACCATAATAATGCACTTTTCAACATGGCCAAAAGCAGTTTTATGAAGAAAAAATTCAGCTCTGTTTACTGAAGAACAAATAATGCCAGAAATAATCAGTAGAATTTAAAACAATGATGAGCTCTATATATTTTCTGAAGACACTGGAAGGAGTACAAACACTAGTTTTGCCACCAGCTATTTGTTACGAACACCATAAACCAGGGGTGGTAAACCATCTTGTTAGACATTCTCAGGAGACACAGTTGAATACATTGTGGCCAGGGGGAGGGGCACAGGCACCTGGAGCAGTGTGGAGAACTGGGCTGAGACACTTTCCCTCAGCACCATGAGTGCTGGACTTCACCCAAAGGCCTTAGGGTCTCTGCTCCTTTCCTAAAATAAAATAACTCCCACAACAAAATTGGTACTAGTCAATTTAGCCCTTTTGAACTTTCACCATCTTAGGAATTAGGCAGTAAACACTTCAAGGTAAAATATGGCTGCATTTTTCTCCTATTTTTGGCACCACCTTTTTTGCCCTTGACCTAATACATTGCAAGAGTGCCGCACCCAAGAGCTTCTCTAAGCTATGTCCTCAGACAAAAAGTTTCTCCACTTGTTTGACTAATAGTTTTCCTCTGCAGTGCATCCCAGTTATTGCTAAGATGTCTCCATTCCTCAGAAATGGTCTCAATTTTCTATAATCAGAAGTAATAGTACTGTATTTTCAGGCATATGGATGAAGGTCCACTTGTGCAACATTCTGACAGGTTGTTCTCTGAATTCTGTCTTTAGAAAATGTTCTTCCAACTTTTCAATTGTCCTTCACCAACATTCTGTGGTCTAAAAGCTAAGCTACATGGTACACTTACTGTGCAGTGTACAGCTCTCTTTTTCTCACAGTGCTCCAGCCTGGTGAAATGACCAGAACCCTAAAATATACCATATGAAAGCAGTAGATTTCTTTTCCTCCTGGAGCCCCAGAAAATGACCTCCAATATATCCATTGACCCCAACTGAGTAAGGCAGATGTCCATATACACCTGCTTGCAGATGAACATTAGTATCACATTGTTTGCATGGGACCAACCAAGACTGATCAGCACATTCACACCCAGTACCAACACCCAGGGCTGGGCTGGGGACCTTGGACAACTCGCCATGCATTTTGCATGAAACAAGAAAATGGAGCACAAGGTAAGACAGCTTGGAAATATCTGCTAGTGCAAAATGCAGCTGCCCAAGTGCTGGTGGGGATGAGTAGGTCGGAGCATGTAACACCTACACTGTGCCAATTGTACTGTTGACCAGTGGATTTCCAAGCACCATTTAAAGCACTGGTTTTGGCTTGCTTTATGACCAAATTACTTGAAAGACCACCATCAGCCTGCCTACACTTCAAGAGCAGCAACAAAGGCTGTCTTCATTCATCTTTCTTTGAAGGCAATTGTGTTAGGTGTGCCAGGGCCTTTGCTGCAATGGCCCCACATCTCTGGAATGTGTTGCCGTTGAGGTACTTTCAGGCCACAACATGGCAGGTTTTGAAAACCTACTTGTTTACTCATGCCACCCATGATTCCGTATTTTTTTGTTTCTGCTTTTTAGATTTTTTTAAAAATGAAATTGGTTGATTTTATTGTTGCAAGTTGTTTTGGAAGATTTCCTGCCCTGAAAGACATCCTATAAATATTTTAAGTTAATAAATGTTAGCCAACTCTTTCTACATGGGAGAACAGAAGGCTAAAGTTTGAACTCTGCTGTCACCTCAAATCATCCTTTTACACCTCTCATCCAATGCAGAATTGCAAGCTGAGCTATAAATCTATACGGAGGACACCGTGAGATGCCTGCAGTTCATCATCCTTGGGTCAGCTTGCAGGATTTATCCATAGTGAATAGAAATATGGCCAGTAAATTATTTCTCCCAAGTTTTCCTGACTCATTTAAAATTTGATTCTGCAAATGTTATCAGTGGACAGAACCCCGATTGTGAGAAGTCTGCCTGAGTTTACTGCTGGTTTAATACAGAACACATTTTATTTACTTCTGTCAGGACCACACAAGTATTATTTATTGGCAAGGTCCTTCTTAGAGCCAAGTCTGTATTAGGATTAATATCTCACACTGATCTGAACTGAACCTGAAATCTATGTAAAAACATACTTCTGAACTTCAGGCTATGTGAACAAAAGTGCACAGGCAAACAAGGTTATAAACTTATATTTGCTTTCCCTCTTGTAACAGCACAAAATCTCGGGAGCTGGACTTCCTCCAACAGCCACATGAAGGGCTTTCAAGATCTTTTAAGTCTGATGGGCAAGGGTCAAACACATTCCTCATTTAGAGCCAGTGCAGTGTAGTGGCTAAGAGAACAGGACCGGGACTCGTGAGATCTGGGTTCTAGTCCCCACTCAGTCATGGAGCTCATTGGGTGACTTTGGGCCACAGCCACAGACTCTCAGTCCAACCTACGTACCTCACAGGGTTACTGTTGTGAATATAAGCTTGAGAGCAGCAGGTAGAGAATGATGTAAGCTACTTTGAGTTTATTATAAGAAAAAGTAGAATATAAATCTACTAAATAAATAAATAAGTTATCCCATGGAAAACAAATGTAAAACTGGATGGTGTCTTTTGTATTGTATTCAGGCTTAAGTCCTACTTAGAGCAGATCCACTGAAATCAACAAGATTGTTAATGACTACAGTTCTACTGATGGATTTGCTTGAAGTATGACTAAGTTTGGATACTATCCTTTGTTTCACATTTTTTCACCATCACAAATGGAGCAAAAGCTTCACACAAACATTAGTTATACTTTTTATGCCAGACATGAACATGTATTTTGTACTGCTGAGTTCCCAATCAAAATTTAAGTCTAATACAAAATGTATTGCAGTAACAATTCTAAATCCATTAATTATTCCCATATTTATCTTCTTAGCTACTTTAAGGACCATGGACGGCAGAGAAGAACAAAAGATGGTGCTGGCTGGTAATCCTGACCCCAGAGAAGTCAGTAACAAGTGTGATTTTAAGTGTAACTTATCCACAAGAATGTTGTGACTACCACTACTACAAATAGCTTTGGGAGGCAGGTTAGTAGCAAGCTTCAATTGTATCTAACGATGCACTAACTTGGGAATAAGTCTCACTGAATTCTCTTCTGAGTAGACATGAGAAACCTGCAACCTAACTTAGGGTAATTGTAATTGGCTAAGATGGCTGTATATAAAGACACTATCCTCATTAATGGTACTGCTCAGCTTGCATCAACTTCTCCCAGCCCAGCGCCTTGAAGATGTGTTGGACTATAGCTCTCATGACCGCAACCTGTCTGGTCAAAGTCTAGCAATAATGGGAGCTGTAATTAATACATCCAAAGGGGACCAGGTTTGGAAAGGCTGTTCTAAATCCTGTCAGACCACATCCTATGCTCAGCTCTGCATATCCCTGGAAGTTCCAACATGACTCAACTATGAGATAGACCATGGTGGACAACTGCTTGTCCACTTTCCTTTTCTGTCTTCTCAGCAACGGCCTTCATAAGCAAGGAAAGAGCCATAACTATGCTTGTTTTCAGTTATCATGTCAACCCAGTTTACACACCCATTTCAGACCATGGGTGCCAGTTCTGGCTTACCAGCCAAGTTCAGCCATTCAGACATTACATCAAACCATAGATAAAAATTATTCAAGCATCATCTGAACAGAGCTCAGCCTCCTAATTCTTGACAGCCAAACAATCAACAACACCACAAGAAACACACAACAATTTTCATTCTCTAAAATGAGAACCAGGAAAATTGACAAGATGCAGTTCGTACATGTTAGAGGGTTACAGTTATTACTTGATTGAAAGGTGAAGAAAGTGCACTTTGGGTAAAAATGTCACACATACACAAGGGAGAAAATCTTAAAAATCATTTTTATTTACATGGCAGACAGTTTGCTGCACGCAAAGATTTTCCAAATCTAGTCAGTGGTGACTCTGCTTGCTTATCTCCAGTGAACAGTACATGTGCTTGTGTGTGTTTGTACATGTGAAACAGAGAGAACTTGATGAATTAGTGGATTTCACAGTCTGACATCAGCCAATGCCAGTGATCATTAGCCAAGAAAATGCCACTTATCAGCTAAAAGAAAAGAGAACAAATATTATCCAGGGCAAGTAACTTAAAAATCATTCACAACACCTATCCTTGTTCTCCCCTCTATATTCATCAATATATATAAAGAAACTTGCCTGGGTCCACTATATCATTTTATGATGCCACTACTCTAAATAATAAATAGATCAATAAAATGACACAAGTCCAGCTATTGCCCTTCCCTTACGAGAAAAAGAAAGCTTAAAGTAAGAATGTAGGCATGGTTCATAAAATATGCTGTAGGGTTTTCACAGTGGAAAAAGAATCGCTTTGCTTCTGCTTGCTCAGTCAAGTCACAGAAATAGAACCACAGGAGACAAGTAAATCCACAACCAACTTAAACAAAAGGCTAACACTGATAACTCAAATAAGCACATTTTGTTTTAAATCTGCATACAACAGCCAGTTTCAAACCCAGATTCCTTTTATAGGATGCAAGCAAGAAATCCACAGCGGCCTTACCTTCTTTGGAAACCGAACATTCTTCCACAGGTGGCGGAGCCTACAAAAAGAACAGGTACTTCATTTTGATGTACTTATTTAAAGCCAACAGTTGGGGCTGCACAGAGCACAAAATGGGCAGTTTACAATCTAAGAGTAAATTGTGGAAGAGCATTTTAATGATTCTGTTTCATGTACTTAGGTTTAGTTTCAGCTGGGCAGCCTTCCCTCACCTGACGGGAGCTGAGGGGAATTGTAGTTCTATATTTTTAAGTCTATGAGCTTGGAGAAGGCTACAGTATGGGAGCCACTTTGTAGACGGACTGGGAAATAGTTCCTATCTCCCAGGGCAGCGAGGAGGAAAGGGCCGAGGACTTTGAGGGAACAAGGCTAGCAGGGACTTTAACATCACCATTATTTCTCTGAACAGCCAACTCCTGGGCCATTTCAAGCACTGCCTTTTGCAACTCTTCCCCATTTCATTACACTTTTGCATGAGGGATGCTGTTCGAACACATACAAAGTTTCCAGCCATCTTCGGCAAAGAAAACAGTTGCCTAGATTCTGTGTGTCCTAGGCTCACTTGTCCTGAGCCTTTGGACTAGAATGAGCTACTGTTGTTTTTAAAAACGCTACTAAGGGCCAACATTAAAAGATCAGCACTGAAAGGGCACTGAGCCCAGTACTAGCCTTCCTCTGCCTGATGTTGTAAACTAGAGGTGGTTTTGACTACAACTCCCATTAATCCTAACAATTGGTCATGCTGGCTGGAGCTGATGCCCAGAACTTTTAGAGTACCATGCTGAGGAACATTCTATTATTATGTGATAGAAATGGGGAAAGATGTGCCACCAAGAGTCTGTCAGCTACACATGTACCACTCAAGATATAAAAACAGGTTTTTTAGTCGACTAATAGCTAAAAATCAGATTTCCAAACAGCCAAGAATGCTCCTGAAAAAACACTCAACAAAATGATGCGGTTGCTGCAGCTGGCAAAGCAGTTTGTAGACAGATCAGACTCTGAGGTTTCAATTTAGGATATAAGCCGGCATTTATATTTTTAGGTCCTTTGCTTAAGTTTCCCTTTGTTTTTTTTAAAACATTCGGCTGAAGCAAACAGAACTGTTTAAAAATATTTCTCTCTCTGTGTCTCTTTCTCACGCAGGCGCACACTATTTTCTCCTTCTCTACAAGATGCATTTAATTACAGAATGAAGTAAATAAAGGGCACACTTGGTGATCTGAGTAGGCCGCTGCTAGTCAATGAGTTTTGAGGGCTGGGTGGTAACTCATGGCAACAGGGTAGACAAACACACGCATATAAAGACCTAGGCTAGACACAGACTGTGCACAGTGGCATTATTCAGGATCCAAAAGGAGAGAGGGTGTGTGTGGGTGACAATCTGGCTTCATGGAGTGCTTGGTAAAATAAGTGAGCATGTGGAAATGCGGCTCCTACGATGCATTTACAAGACTGCTAATGATGTGTGGCCAAGTATGTCTGTGTGAAATAAGTAGAGGGTCCCCACCAGGACCCCCCTCCAACTCCCCCCTACTTATCTCACACAGACATACTTGGCCATACACTCCAGTGCTCCCGACTTAATTTCCAAGCCAGATCTTCTCCTTGTTTTACCCAGTGGATTACAACAGTACAATCCCTGGATGCCTCATGTGCACAGTGTGAGTGACTCACACTGGAGAAGGCGAAGAGGAGGGGGAGGTAACAGAATTTCCCTTACACACTGCACAATAGCTTGGGCATCCTCTTCATTGCAGCAGTAGGGGCTGGTACCCACCAGGAGGTTGATGCTGAAAAGAGAAGACCGTTACTAACACGTGGAGAAGAAGACGTTATCTTAAGTCCTACGTCAGGCTCCTTAAACAGGGAAGGGCTCCAAGAAGCTGCCTCACACAGGGTCAGAGCATAGCCCATCAGTATCAGCAATGTCCACATCAGGGATGGAGAACCTGTGGTCCACAGCAGCTTGGGCCCTGGATACTTTCCAAGCCCTGGACACTCCCTGAGCCCTGCCAAGACCCAAGCCCTTGTTACCTGTAATCTGAGACTGGACAGAAGGGGATTATCTGGAGCACTGCTGTCTCCCCCAGTGGGGCCAACATGATAGCATCCCCCTACCAGCATTGTCCAGTGACATAATCAGGTAAGTTAGAGTCCACTATGGATAAAAGAAGAAGACCACCCCCTCTCCCACTGCCTCTTATTTCTGTTGTTAGATACAATGATAATTTACAGAGCAATTCTGTGCATGACCACTTACAAGCCCCACTGAGTTCAGCAAGGGATTACCTGCAGGTAACTATGTACAGGCCTTCAGTTTGGGCCAGGCAATCTTCCAGACGTTTTGGGTCACAGCTCTCATCAGCCCCAGCCAGCATGGCCAAAGTTTTGTAGTTCACCCATGTTGTCTGATTCTGGTGCAGTGCTAGGCATGGCTGATAAGTATGTACCATTAAGTGCAACAGGAGCTGCAATTTACGCTCTCTTACCTGAGTGTAAGCTCCATGGAACTAACTGGGCCTTAGGTCTGAGTACATGCATAGCTTTGGGCTTTCTTATTGTTTCATACCAAGCATTTCTCAACAGCAAACCAGTCCTCTTACTATCCATCTAAATGAGCAAAGCCAACATCAAGGCATCCTCAAGAAAATTTGAGGTTTATCATCTTTGTAGAAGCAGAAGGCTAGAAGTGCATTTATTTTTGGAACCATTACTGAAGTTTAGTTACTGAACAATTTGCAGGGCTCAAGTCATTCAGAAAAACACATGCCCAATTAGCAAGAAGAATTACGAACAAATGCAAAAGACCTTTGGGATAGGAGAAGCACTACTACCTTCATAAAGCTATCCAAGACAATATAACATTAATTCACGCCAGATTTTGATAGACAGATGCAAAATGGATGTTTACCATTTGATGCCTCCTCCATTAGCCTTTTTGTGAACCAAGGATTTCCAGCATTCATGGGTGGACTTAATTATTTCAACTGCAAATGCCTATTCAAAAAGTTAAACAGAAATGTGATTTTACCCCCTCTTTAACAAAAGAATCAATGTGACATTTTCAAAGCTTAGAGACAACTACACTCAAGTTAAGACTGTATGTTCAAGGATATCTTGGAACTTCCAAATTCCATGCTCAAACCTTTCCTTTTTTAAAAAAGGAAACTTCTAAAAATTAGCTATAAAATTATTCAGGAGGCTTCCATCCACCACTGATTTACACCCAGAAGTATGGTGTTGGGGGGACTCAGAATGGCAGTGTACATTTCACAGGAATGCTCATGTGGTTCCCCCACTATCTTTCATGTAGGCCATGGGAACGAAGCTATATTTGGGGATAGAATAACCCTTTTAGCATTCCCAGAACCATTCTGAGAAGCTACTCCAAGCCAGTTCAAACAAAGAACTAAGGAACTGAACTATGCTTTGGCTCTGCTTTCAGCAAAGTTTTTCTGCATATGCTCAGTTTTTAAATACCAGCTGTACTGGCTGCAGAACTCCAAACCTCACTAAAACAGAAAGTGTCTAATTAAGGACAGAAGACGATCTCAGAATGCAGCTGGGGCCAAGAGCATTTTCCCAAGGACTGGGGGTGGGGAAGAGAGAAGAACGTTGGCTACACTTTAGGAAAAGCAGCAAAAGAAAGCTTTCCCCAAACAAAGAACTCATCTGGGGATCACAGGCACTCCAAAGATGAGATGCTTTTCTTCCAGAGAAAAGTTAGGTGTACTTCATGGGTCACGATAAAAGTTTTCCACAAACCATGCACCAGGGATGAGAAGTATATGTCCTTGCTACTGTTAGCCTGTAACACCTATCACCCTCCGACCTTGGCTATGCTGGATAGGGCTGATGGCAGTTACAGTACACCAACTTCTATAACGGTGGGGGTGTTTCAGGATAGGCTGAACATGCACACGGTAAGCATGTCATGACTGGGACTGGCTGGAACTGCGTGTCAGACTAGATGGCTCAAGAGACCCCTTCTGACTCACTCTGTTTCTATCTGCAGGTACCACCACTTGTCCAGCCTGCCATCAACCTATACGGTGTACAAAAATACTGCAGCACACACTCAAAGCCAGCTGACGCATGCAGTGCAAGGCTGTGCCCTTGTGGCAGCTTGTTCTGACGTGCAATCACCCTATTAATGCTAAAAGGATGCTGCCCCAAACCAGAAACAGGAGAGTCTTCACTGTACAAGTATCAGTCTGGTCATTCCTTTGAAAGGTATACAGGGTGTTTTATTAACCACAGACACAACAGATGTAGGACTGACACACAGAAGAGGAAGTAAGCACTTTCTTCAATGTCATTTTTTAAAAATTGCTCTTCTAATAATATTGGGTTAGATCCTGATGAAGTTACTCAGGCTCTGGTCCCATTGTGATCAATGTGATCACCAGCAACCATTCACTCTTCTCATCGATTTCAATGAAACTAAAATGTGCCTTTCAGAATCTGGAACCAACTCACTGTTTCACCAAGGCACATATTTCAGCAAGAACCATCAATACATTTGCTATCTTCAGTAAAGAGATTCTTCACCTTGTCTTTAAATGTCCTGTTAAAAGCAAATTGATTTTCTGGCTTCCCATCTGGAACTTTATATAATCTGAACCAGTCAACAGTAGATTCAAGATACCCTGGTTTGAACTTCCTGACATCCTCAATATCTGTAATGAAGCAGGAAATACAGATACCAAGTTAGTATGATATATAAATTTGCCCCAAGCCAAGTGCAAGGTTAGTCCAATCTGCTTATCAAGTAGAAAATCATGGGTTTTTAGTGATCATTCTTCATAAGCAGAAGAGGTTCCATTCACTTCAGCAAGGGCATGGAGGTTTCCCTTAAACCAAAGAGAATGGGCGAGTTTGCACATCACACCAACCCACCAGGACCCACTGTGTAAACCATCCACAGTGAGTCCCATAGATGATTGGCTCACCATGGGTTTTTCGCTTCCTCCCTTCCCTTCAGTCCTCCAGGAGACATTTCAGAAGAAATCACAGGAAGGCTGTGTCATCTTTCCCTTCCCACTGTGACTGAACCAGTTTTAGTTTGCTGTGTCAACTATGTATCCATGTATGTATGTATGTATGTATGTATGTATGTATGTATGTATGTATCTATCTATCTATCTATCTATCTATCTATCATTTTAGCTATTTCCCCCCCAAGAGGTTGTCAAAGTGGACACAATAATGAAGGACAATCGTGGTGGTGAGATATGCCTGCAAAACAAGACAGAACTAGGCAGCTATGATTCAGGGGGACCAAGTGCTGGTTCACACCAAAAAACTGCTTATCTCAGCTGTGAACCAGAACAAAGGTTCCACTGGCCCAACATGTGTACAAACATTATTCCTAAAGGACACTTTAAAAATACCGCAGAGTTCTCTAAAACCAAGCACATCACAAGAACCACAGGGTTATAGGTCACTGCTCACAACAATACAGCTAAAGTCAAGCTAAAAGAACAGACTTCCAGTTATATAGCAGGAAGTTCAAGATGACTGTGTTGACTCGTCATGGAGGCTCTGTGGAACAAAGTTTGGGAAAAACTATGCCAAACATTGATGGCAATTATTGCTCCATGAAAGAGGTGCTGTAGAGCTCAGGAGGATCCTTGAGCATATAGCTTCATGTCTGAGGAAGCAACAGAACCCAGCAGTGTGGGTGTTCACTGAGTGGTGACTGGCCCTGATTCTATGACAAGCACACAGGTGGCTCAACCCTCATAGTGGAGACTTCCATTCCATAACGGACCACCTGATTTCTACATTCCATCCCCTCCAGTTCCAAGGTTCTCTGGTAGGAAGGCTGATGAGCTCCATCTGTGCCTGCAGCTTTGGAGAGCTGCTCCACCTCCCATTCAGCCCAGTCAGTAGGACCAATGGATTGTTGGGCATGTAATTCTCCAAAGCACAGGAGTCCCGCCCGAGGAAGCCAGGAGCAGACAATGCTCACACAGAGGGACCACACAACGGAGTGACCTGGTATGAAACAACATCCTCCACTCCTGTTTAATGCAAGTTCTCCCAACTTGATACCCTCCAGCTGCACTGGACTGTAACTCTCAGAGTCCACCAGCCAGTCATACCGGCCTGGGTTGCTACACATTGTAGCCCAGCACACCCAGAAAGCACCAGGTTGAAGAAGGCTGATTTAATGCATGAAGTAGCTGTAAGCCACTGGAAGATGATTCCTAGTTGCACTGGGAACCAATTTGTGCTTAATTACTTTTTTGCCAAACTGATCCATGCCCTTTCTCTCTCTGTCTCTCTCTTCTCCCAAAGCTAGCACAATTTGTAGCAGGCATTCTAACAGTCTGTAGGAAGAAGACACATGTTTTTAATGATGTCTTATAAACATTTACTGGAAGCAGCAGCTTAAGACCATATAAAGGCATTTTCTGCATTTTTGCAATGGGGCAAAAATCTTGCACACACAAATTATTGTATACAGAATGCTGTCCCAAATTCACTACAAAGCAAACCTAAATCTTCATTCTTACTCTGCATATAAAAAACACCCTGATATGAAGCTAAGGAATATCATTTCCAAGGCAGGAAGGTTATTAGTTCTGATTTCTCAGTTGAAAAATTGAGTGCGTGTATCAAAACAAAAATTAATGAACAAACAAATGAATAAAGGCTGATTTACCATGTTCCTCCCCTTCTTCCTCCATTTTTCTCAGAACACCATAAATGGCAGAGGGAAACATGTGGTCCTTCAAATATTGTTGGGATTGCAACAGCCACTAGCCAACAGAGCCAATGCAGAGGGATAATGGCAATTGTAATCCAACAATCTCTGGAGGTTCACATGGTTTCTATCATTGATAAATGAGACTGACCAATTTCATCCTCACTACAAGGTTAATTTAAGCAGAGAGGTGATTATAACCTGGAGGTCCATGGTTAGGATCCAAAGATTGGAAACCTTTAAGCCTGGGCCTAATTTTTAAAGCCCTCTAAAAGTCATTGTTAGACCTCTGGAAAGGGCCATCTGTCCTTCCCTAGTACACTGCTAAGCAGGGAAAAAGAGAAAAGGGAAGAAAGGGAAGCAGGGGTGGAAGAGAGACACAGAGTGGCTATAAATAAATCAACACCAATAATCCTTCAGTGCCGCTTATGCTAATATTACTTTCCTTTCCAACTCCCTCTTCCAGGTCCAAATCTAAAACCCTCTGGGACGTGTAGACCTTTTTCTCTATCTAAACTTGCACAGGATAGCCCCTTAAAACTCCAGAAGAAGCAGATGAGCTGTGAATGCTGGAGTCTCCACCACAAGACATTAGGCACCCCCTCAGGCAGCTGTCTAAGAGCTCTTCTCAGTGAGAGATGTGTGACACAAGCGTGAGCAGCAATCACAGCAGAGGAGCGTATTAGGCGGGGATCCAATTTAAACAAGCATTCTATTTTCCTTTATTCAAAGAAAATTAATCCGTCAATACAAAGTGGGCAAAAATTAAAAATGAATTGGCCACCTGCTTATCCCCCATCCTTCACCTTTGCCAGCTCTCTGTACTTGCAGGAAGAAGTCAGAAACTCAAACTGGGAATTTTTAGCAATACTTGTTTAAGAGGTATACAAAAATAAAATAAAATAAAATAAAATAAAATAAAATAATAAAATAAAATAAGTGAATTCCCAATCACAGATTTGTTTCACTTAATTCCACCACAGAGTTTTAGCTTCAAATTTCATGCCCTTTAGGCAGCTAAAAGACAGATAATACCACACTCCTATAAAATGCCCACCTCCTATAATACTATAGGTTAAGGACCTTACAATGCTTTCAGTATTTGACTGAGTGACAAATCAATGCTGCTGACAAATGGATATTTATTTGAAAATGTGGTCTACTTTCAACAAAGCCTATGTATAATAACCATAAAGCTGTATTTTCATATACATGCATTTCACATGTATTCATTGATATGGATATATAAAAATCTGTGTGTGCATTAAAATATTAATAATAGAAAAAAAGAAGAAAAATTCAGGCTCCCATGCATTAAATATCCTGTGGACTGGATAATCACAAAAAAGGGGCAAACTATTATCCACGTGATCCTTAAAATGATTACTGATTGGCTAGAGTTCAAGCCAGTCAGAATGCTATCCCACTGGGGTGTTTATAATTAACTGTACAAATGCTTCGGCACTGCTTATGATTCAAGTGCCGCAGCGCTCTCTGAAAGATTCCACATGGTAGCAAGCCAGGGCTGCTGAGCATGATAATAGCTGACCTAGATTTTTTTCCTATTAGAAATAAATTTCCATAGCCTCTTCTAGTATTTTGTCATTGTACAGCAACAATGAAGCAGGAGCGGAGGGAGGGCCACAGGGATCTGAATGTGAGTCTAGTGGGTGAAAATCCAGAAGGCAAGCTGAGAATCAGCAGTCAAGCCAGGTGTCTTCTGGACTGACGTCCTGAATGACTGAAAGCTCTGTCCCTTGCTATCACCTGCTACATGGGCAAAAGAGGGACTTCCAATGAGAGCGGCTACTTAGGACTCAATCCTATACATGCTTAGACACAAAAAGGCTAGGACATCACTAGATGCTGAGAAGCAGACAAAAAGACAAAAGAATGCACATATTTGCATATGTTAATTTGCATATGACTTAAAGACTGTTTGTGTTCATGTTTCTGAAAGACTCAGTCTTCTAAAAACACCTGTGGGCAAAAGCCAGCTAATTCACAGTGTTCAGATGCAACCGAACTGATCATCAGAACTCCTCTGGTGGGTCTCAGAGCCTCCCAGAAATTCTGGGCTTGATCCAAGTTGGTTGTCCTTGAACCCTGCCTCTGGAAAAAAGGCCTAAACATGTCCATCTGAACACACATAAGGCTCACAACATCACTTCTCACTGAAGTCACAGGTCAACTTGGCATAGGAAGGGCTCAAGTGGAATAGAACAGGCCATGTCTCATCCGGCTTCTTGCTTTCTGTAGGGAGCAGAGCAAGCAACCAGAGAGAGATTCCTTCTTGGGACCAATTTTCATTGAATGTGTAAACAATGTTAGGGCTGTACCACTGCAGACTGTAAGTTGAATGCTTGCCAATAAAACCAAAACAACAATCGCCTTCCACACAGAAAATCCAGTCAGGGAGTAGAAGCCCACACGAATTTTGTTTTTCTGCATACAAACTGTTCAAGTCACAGAAGGAGACAACCACTTAGTCTCTGACTTGCACCTTTTCTGCAGAGAAGTACGTGGGAGCAGGGGACTCCCAGGCAGAACAGAGTAAGCACACAGGTAGGCAACTGGAGCCTTCCAGGTGTTTCAAACAACCAAACAGAACCCCTGACTGTTGGCAATTCTGACTGCATCTTAGGGAGCTTTCGTTCAAGACATCTGGAGGGCAGCAAGTTGTCATCCCTTGGAATAAGGATTCACACTCCAAAGGGATCCCTCTGACTGTATGATACTACAGTAGTTACGTATATTGGAACGAATCGGAGAACTAAACCGGAGATAACAATTCTACACAGTGCTTTTAAATGCCTTCAAACTCAGGAACAGAGTTCTTTAGAATCAAGGCTAACCGGCCTAGGATTCTCAGAGCTGACTGGAAGTGCATCTCCAAGGTTTCACTTAGGAATTTTTCCAACCCTTACCTGAGCCAGAATGATGGTCACTCCTCCAAGTCCTGCAATATGTACCCCATCTGCACACTAAACGTAATCAAATTTTGTATCTTCTAACACTCTGACAGCACCATCACAACCACCACACTCACCAAATTGTAGCTTTGGGTGCAAAGCTATTGATAACATCCTTTAAAGCACACCTGTCCAGGTGCCGAAAGGAAAAAAAAAAAGACACACAACAGATAGATCAAAATCAATTTAATAAGGAAATAAAAATGCTCACCATGCATTTTCTGTGAATCTGGATCATCCAGACTGATAGCAATGACCTTCCAGTCTGTTTCTCCCTCATCAATAAGACCTAGAACTCCAAGGACCTTCACCTTGACAATGTCACCAAGTGAGCGAACCTGAAAACAAAGAAGCCGGCCCTCTCAATCAAAAAGGAAGGGGAAACAGCTACATTATTTTTTCCAGTTATGGTACTGCTTCTTTCTTAACTGAGCCAGCTTTCAAAACAGTTTCTTATGGACCCTTTCTATTGTTTAGTCTCTGTCTTTCTAAAAATTGTTGCATCTTGTGGTCTCATATTATCATGTATTATTCACAGGTGTTAATTCATGTCCTGTCCCATTACCTGTGCTCTATTCATTCGAATATCCCCAATTTGACACCTTTTATAAGCATACACCTGTACTTGTTTTAATTCCAGTTTCATCATAGCACATCTTCCTTAAACATGCAGCTTCATTACAATCTCAGGCAATGGTCACCATATAAACATCTCTCTGACCTTTCCCCAAGGACTGTCTTTTTGTCTCAACTTCCCTTATACAGCTGCACTTGGGAATAAGTGCAAATAAGGAGAAACATGACAGAGGTGTACGAAGCTGTGCATGGTGGGGAGAACGAGGATGGGCAGACATTTTTTCCACTCTTTCTTAATACTAGAATCCAGGGTCATCCCACGAAATGGTACATTCAAGGCAGATAAAAGGAAGGACTTCTTCGCACAAACTACAGCTAACTATGGAATTCCCTTCCACAAAGTGCAGTGATGGCCCTGAGCTTGGCCGGCTTTAAAATGGGACTGGGCAAATTCATGCAGGATGAGACTCTCTATGGGTACTAGTCCTGACAGCTAGAGGCCGCTGCCTGTAACAGAGGCAGTATGTCTGCGTACAGCAGCTGCTGGAGAAATGGCCGAGGGGGTCCCATTGCACCCATGTCCTGCTTGCCAGTTTCTCAGGGCAGCTGCTTTCACCACTGTGTGAACACAATACTGGACTCGATGGACCTTGGTCTGAGCCTACACAGCTCTTCTTATGTTCTTGCCTTCTTCTTAACTCAGAAGATAAAAGTTTGTGTTTCTCTACCTAGACTTCCAGCCAGTCTTCTAGCATTGTTCTTTCTATTTACTTCAGTACATACCCAACCACACAATCTGAATCAGACATATTCTCAGAGTGACCCATCTTCTCGCTTGATGTGATTACTATTTTGATACACAGAACCATCAGAATGCATCCCACTGCTGAAATTTTGACAATTGTCTAAATATCCCGCTGAGTATATGAAAAATTAAGTCTTCCATCTAACCTCTGAAGTTGATTCCCTTTCCTAGGACTTCCCTTCCACAAGAAACCTTCCTAATTTAACATTAACAACCCCTCAATCTTAATTTTATCTTCTCTCCCTTGGCATCATTTCCTCTGAAAACAAACTCATGTAGCAAGTGCCAACAGGGGGGACTGTTGGGGGAACTCCAAAGCTGGCAGAAGTACAAACACATCTTCCAAAACTCCTAATAGAAGAAACAAAAACCAAAAAAAAAACAAATGCACCCAATCAGTCACTATGAATGGGGAGCTCAGAGTGTCAGCTACAACTGAAAAATGATAAAGTGTGTGCGGGTGTGGCAGAAAAGGAGAATACTCTGTCATTAAACCCTGAAAAAGAGGGTGGATGGATGGCACCATGATCCTGAACTACAGCTAGGAAGCAAGGATATACTGTAATGTTTTGCCCTTGATCTGTATCTTCCACTAGACCCCTGCAGGCAATTTTCCTAAGTTAATAATAGGAAACCAAACTGCTGAAACATTAAACTCTCGGATAAGTCTCACCAGTAATTAAGACAGACCTGGGAACCAATTTCACAGACGTCAATGGGATCGTTGTCCCCGCAACATCCTGTACTATCATCTTTATGACTGGGATCTTCCCACGTCTATTGAAAGAAAAACAGAAGAACATTTTAAGCTCTGGTTATCGCTGTTTGCCTCCAATTACTGGAATTCTGAGAACAAAGGGCCAGCTGCCTGCGCGCACTGGATTTGCCAGTGACTATAAACACACTTCAGATAATAGTGCACGTGCTCTGGTGCAGCCCTCTCAACATGGTGCCCTCCAGATGTTTTGCACTTCAAGTTTCATCAGTCACGTCCAGCATGGCAAAAGACAGGAAAGCTGGCAACTGCAGTCTCAAACATTAGAAGGCACAAAAGCCAAGGCGGTTCTTACTGTTGTGGCCACTGCTCTCCAGAAGGCTGCTGTGGGAAGGGATGGCCCCGTTTCAAAGTGGCTACCGTGAGGGCCTGGCTGGTTACAGAATTTCCCACAAGGCCAACTGGTGGAGCCTGAGCTACAAAATACAAACCCACTGTTTTGAATGCAAGGAAACAAAGAACTGGGGGGCAGCACCATGCAACTTTCCAGGTAACTTTTTCTTTGTTTTAATTTAAACACATCTTTGCATTGCACTAGGGCTCCTTTTATACCAAAGGATTCCCCTTTCAACCTGAGCTTTGATCTTTGAATTTGATAAAGCAAGATGGCCTGTGTGACCGTTTTTCTGGAAATATGTGTTCCACTTTTCAATACAGATGCTTCCCAAAATACATGGCCCATAGAATTATCTCCCCGGGCCCAGTGACCATTGCCCAAGCCTTTGAATGTCATTCTGCGTTCATAAATTACACAAGATTTACAAGGGGAATTTTCTGGGAAGACGAAAAAGCTTTCAAAGATTTTGACAGACAAAGAAAAAATATATACATTACCTGAGGGAAGGCTCCATAATTCCAAATATAGCCCTTGTGGGGAAAGATGTTTGCCACGTATCGCAGCTTGCCTTCCTTTACATCTTGCTTAATGGGATTCAACGGCTCCTTTGTGGCAATCTAAACACGATGAGAAACAGAAAGTGGGAGTCCAGCAGGAGGGAGGAAGATTACTATAAAATGGCTCAGTTGATTATTCCCATAATGAAACCCTGACAAAGCTCTGAGCTTCATTCTTCGATTTATAACTTGTCCTTTCTTCAGGGATCTTCAGGGAAGACTGGACCAAACAAAGAAAGAGAACACTTGGGACATTTGTAAGATGCTGGAACTATGAAGTAGTGGGCAGGGGGAAAATTTCTTGTATTTTAATTTAATTATTTTAAATTAAATTAAATTATTTTAATTTAATTTAATTATTTCTTGTATTTTAATTTTCTGTTGTGAGCCGCCCCAAGGCTTCGGCGAATGGGGTGGCATAGAAATGTTTTAATAAATAAAATAAAATAAAATAAAATAATTACTTTGATAATCAGGGCCAAACAAGATGCAACATTAGCAAAATAAGGCCTGGCACTCCCACAGCAGTTGGAAACCATTGGCAAAATGCTAGTCAAACATCTCAGGAGCACCAACATTTCAGTTTAATTAGCTATTTATTTAATTTCTATACAGCCCAATAGCTGAAGCTCTCTGGGCAGTTTACAGCAGCATATAAAGATACAATATAAAACACAAGCAACATTAAAAACTTTAACAAGGGTATCATACACAATTTAAAACCAAATTAAACACTATAAAAAGATGCATTCGCCTATACAAATTAAGGTGTACAATGAGATACAATATCCATGTGTTTCCAGAAATCAAAAAGCAAACAGAAGACAGAGAGGAATTAACCTGTTCAGACCCATGACAGCTGCTCCAGTGCAGGAAACGGGCAGAGTTAGCTGGCCAAAACCCTGAGCAGACAGCAAGGACAGGCTGCAACAGCCAGTGGGGTGGCATGATGAGCATGCTGGAGGGGGCTTGGGAGGCCTGGGTTCCAGTCCCTGCTTGGTCATGAATCTCACCATGGAACTTTGGGTTAGCCATGGACTCCCAGTCCAACCTACCAAACAGGGCAGCTGTGTGGATAAACCAGAGTAAGCTGCCTAAGTCACCTTGGGCTCCCTGCAAGGCAGCAAACAATTAAAAAAACATGTTTTGCTGCAGGTGCCACTTGCATTATTTATTTATTTGCAAGATGCTTTGAGAGCTTTGGCTGTTGGCCGTTTGCAGGGAGCGTGTGTGTTTTCAGTTACCTCCATTTTAGCATTTGTCCAGCGAGGCACTTCTACAACCATGTTAAATACCAACTGAAAAGAAAAAAAGGAACAAATGAGGATGCAGCAAAAAAGCCCCCCACGTCATCTGAGCAAGGTGCTGATCCATCCTCTCCACAGCCAGAGGAAGCTAGTGCTGGGCCACCGCTAGCGGTGCAGCCTGAGGAACATGCGCCTGCATGGCCACTGCCTAAGGCAGGGGTCTCAAACTCGCGGCCCGCGGGCCAATTGCCAGGACGGGTGGGACACGGGGAGGGGCCCTGCGGCCTTCAAAGCGCCGGCGGCGCCCGGGCCGGCCATGGGATGAGCGGCCCACCACCACCGCGGTGGTGGAATACTTGATGCGGCCCAGTCTCACCCAGACTCTACTTCCAGTGGCCCCCAGGTCAGTTGAGTTTGAGACCCCTGGTCTAGGGCAAGCACAGTCCTCGGGCTTCCCAGCAGGGGACACAAAGAGTCGTCCCCAGAGCTGCTCCTCCCTTTCACCACTGCAACCTGCATGCTCACCTGTCTCTGGATCTGCAGAGGCAGCAGCGGTGGTGAAAGGGAGGAGCAGTGGATGCCACTACCTCCTTGCTTGTGGATTCTCTGCAAGGGACAGCCATGTGAGAAAGAGGCAGAACAGCAGGAGCAGCTGGTAAGAAGCTAGACCCATTGGCGATCTCTCAAGAATGGAAGCCACCATGGTGTTGCTTGCTCCACACAGCCCCAGCCCTCCCTGATCACGGATCAGCAGTGCAATGGCAAATAAGAACCGCCTGCACACCCAGGCTAGGTGTACATAAACGGTAGGATGAACAGGCAAATGCTGAAGTGGTACCATTATAGATTATAGGTGAGGTACCAAATTTGAATGCCATCCTGCATTAAAGATGTGTGTAAAATAGAAACTAGTCCATAAAGGTGCAAAATGGCTGCTCTTCGTTAATGAGCTTTCTAAAAAGCAGAGACATTATCCTGCCAACAAAAGTGCGTATAGTCAAGGCTATGGTTTTCCCAGTTGCAATGTATGGCTGTGAAAGCTGGACCGTAAGGAAGGCTGAGCGCCGAAGAACTGAGGCCTTTGAATTGTGGTGCTGGAGGAGACTCCTGCGAGTCCCTTGGACTGCAAGGCGATCAAACCGGTCAGTCCTAGAGGAGATCCACCCTGACTGCTCTTCAGAAGGCCAGATCCTGAAGATGAAACTCAAATACTTTGGCCACCTAATGAGAAGGGAGGACTCCCTGGAAAAGAGCCTGATGCTGGGAACAACAGATGGCAAAAGAGAAGGGGTCAGCAGAGGATGAGGTGGCTGGATGGAGTCACTGAAGCAGTTGCTGTGAGCTTAAATGGACTCCGGGGGATGGTGGAGGACAGGAAGGCCCGGAGGAATGTCGTCCATGGAGTTGCAATGGGTCGGAGGTGACTTCACAACTAGCAACAAAAAATTCTACAAAATCTAGTGCCTCTGACATGGTTGTGGGGCATCCAAAATACACTAGCTTTTTTTTTTTTACTGCTTGGAATTATCCCATATCCTCTATCTCAGTTCCCAGACTACCAAATTTCTTTCAAACTTCCTGATTAACTGTTTTTCAGAATGGCCATTGGTAAAAGTATTCCAAAACTGGTTGACATGCCTGTTATCATTCAAGCTTTGTACGGGACTCAAAGCCAACACAGAATAAAGGAGCCCACAAACTGCCGGGGCTTCATAGCTGTAAGGGATGGCTATCAACCCACCAGCCATTTCAACAGCACACAGTATGACAAACAGCAGATTTGACTTCTGAAAGTGAGGGAGAAGAAAAAAGATCTTTATGGATGATCCTGATCATTAGATTAAGACCGACAGATATTTATCTGTCTTAATATCTGTCTTTGTTGACCTCACTATTTTAACCAGTGAGGTCAACAAATTCCAGAATTGGTCATTTCTCTCACTGAATCTTAACTGTTTCTAACACTCAACTTTTTAATGAGCCTGAAACAACACTTTATGACTTCACCATTGCATTTAGCATTTCCTGCAAACTTCTGAGTTCCCTTAGTTGCTGCTGCTCTGGTTTCATCACAAGGAAGAAGACTGGACAAGAGCCATCCCTATCTGAAAGGTGTAGGTGTCCTATCACTGCCACTTGGCTCTGTGAAGAGGAGGGGCAGGAGGATGCGGAAGCAGGATCCCTAGATTTTTAGTTATCCTGCCTTCACTTTAGCAGCTTCCCTCGTTATTGGTGGCAATTCCAAACTACAGCTCCCAAGATGCATCCTGGTATCACAAATGCTCAAAAGCCCACTTCAATAACAAGAGTTTGCTTTGAGGGAAAACTCTCATCAGACTCTGCACAGTGGGATCTTTATTTTTCAGTACTCGAGGAATGTACTTGGAGTAACGGCAGCCATCACTAATGTTTTGGAATTTTCTAACAGTGACCATATTGAAAAATAATTAACTGGCAAGTCTGTAAAAAGAATCTGCGGTTTGGAAATTGAGAGACAAAATACATACGTGATTCAAATCAGGGAATTTTGAATAGGATAGCCTTTTGCAACAGATGTTTAAAGAAAACTGTTTAATTTTTTGTTAAAACAGCCCTTTTCTTTTTTACAGACTTGACCACATGGGGACTTCAGAGGGATCAGGCGTTTCACAAAGTATTTTTTTTTTATTCTTTGCTAGTGTACTTTTTAATTCCTGTTTTTAGCTGTTTTAAACTTTTCAATTTTTTACTGATTTTACAATATTTTATTGTCTTCATAATCTGCTTTTATGGACTGTGTAAATAGCCCAGACAGCCAAAGCTATGGGGTGTAGAGAAATTTATTATTATAATTATAATAATAATAATAATTATTATTATTAGATGATGATGATGATAATGATGCTGATGATGATGATGATAGGAATATTTCAGCTCAACCACATTAGGAAGATGTTTCAGAATGAACAGGAAGCTTTTTATAGTTTTTCCTCCTCAGGAGGGTCCAGCACAGGGAAAGCAATCCTCTTTCAACCAGCTGGCCAAATTCAGGTTTGGGGAAGCCCTTAGGAAGCCAGATGCCAGGGCTGGCAGCATCAAATACCACCACAGTTTAGCTTAAAGCTGTTACTACCAGTAACAAAAGAAAGGATGTCTGCCTTGAGGATGAGAGATTAAACTCACAAAATCCAGGAAACCACCACACAATGGGCAGAAGAAAGTGCACTGAGGCAGAGTGTGGCCATTGGTGGGGACCTCAAGAGTTCTAGGAGCTTCACTTGTAGGAACAAGATGCCCGAGCCAGAATTCTGAAGGAGCACTCCGAGAGCCTGCCACACAGGAGAAAGCAGGGCCGCAGACAGAGTGTGGACCCTTGCATCATCCTCCAGGTTACAGAAAGAGCACAAGTTTATGCTAGGAAATGCAGGGTACATCTAACTCTCCCTTTGCAGCAATTCACGGGGGATGTTAGCCGTTCTGCTATTTTCAGAGTTCCCAAAAGACGAACACAGGCTAGGACTGCAGACAGACTGAATCAGGAATGGGCACAGGCGACTAATTGGTTGCAGAAAGCATCATGTCAGAAAGACAAAGAGCTTCACTGAAAAAAAAAACGTAAATAGAACTTGGTGGTGCAATTCATAAGCATGACGAAGGACTAAGCACATAAAGTCTTCGTGATTTTACATGTATGGATCACATTCAGCTCTTCCAAGCACTAGTGTTATCAGAAGCTTCTACTGTGAACGGGATGAAGTCTTGATTTGCCATGGTGCAGGAGGGAGCAATACCCACAGGGGAAAATCTTAGCCTCCTTCAGTGAATCCTGCCCCACCAAAAATATATATTTTCATTTAGGCTTTAAAGCAGGGGTGCTGAACAGCCCAAGGGCCAAATTCTATTTTGGAGAAGGGTTGGGGAGAGACACAGAGACCAGTGGTGGGAGGAGATGAAGGAAAAATGGGGCAGGACGAAACTAACAAATATACCAGCATATTTTAACTTAATGCTCTTTTCCAATACCTTAGCCTCAGTACAGGAATTCCAACCTTTCAGAAGGAGGGGGCATCCCAAAAGCCAAGAATCACACAATGAACAGGGATTGCGGAAAGCAACATGAGATCTGAGGAAGCCCTAGAAGGCTGGACTGAGGCCACGGGCAGGTGGAATACGGGGTCCAGACCTGAGGTTCTACACTCCTACTGTAGAGGAAGCCTGTAGGAAGAACTCAGTAGCAAAAAACTGAGCAATGTATCTTGAAAGGATGTCTACACAAAGGACATTCAGAGACAGCATTTGAGCCACTGATCCCATCACAAAAACAAATCTTCTGAGTGCAACAGCAGAGAGGGAGAGAAGAGTCAAACTTGATGCAGGGGGTGGAAAAGCAATACACGACCCTTCAGTTCTCAAAAAGGTTGTAACGTCCACTCACATTAGACTTGTACATTATACAGGGGTCACCAGTGCGGACCCTGCAGGCTCACAGAGTAGCAGCTGCAAAGGGTATGCGATGTGGAGCCTATAGGCACTCCCAATTTCTTATTTTTGATTTCTGGATTTTAATTTTTAATTTAATTTCTAACTTTTTAATGTACATCCATCTTTACACCCTTCTAACAATGATACATAGGCTTCAACAAAAGAGGACCATGTATCTAAATAAATATCCATTTCAAGTTCATATAAGAAAAACATTACAAGGTCCTCAATCCCTTGTATTATAGGAGGAGAATGTTAATCTATCCTCCCAGCATTGTATTATCAGTGTTTTAGATGACAAGAGGTCTCCAAGAATCTTTTTTGGATGAAGGCACAGTCTATGCAATCTTAACAATCCTATGGCTTCTCAGACAGCCTCTAAAGAACCATAGGATTACATAGATTCCTACCTCAGGCTGCAGATTCAGCTCTCACCTTGTGGGCAGGAATCAGTATGGGACTCCTAGAAGCTGTCCCAGAAAGCATCATAGTGGCTTCTTCTTTGGGAACACAATAACGTCCTTGGAACAGGTTGGAGAGGGAGAGGACTCGGCAGGGACAGGAGGGAAGCGGAGCAGCTTAAATCCACTTCATCCAATCACCTCTGTCCCATCCACAGGAAGGTACATCGGCTGGACAGGTTATTAGCTAATGAACCATGTTCCATTCTCCCTCTCCTATAATAAATATAAAGCCTATGGCCAGCCCATGAAGCTGACTGGATAAATCCAGGAAAAATAAAAAGATGGACTTCTTTACACAGCTCATAGTTAAACTGCACAATTCACTGCCACAGGAAGTAGCAGTGGCTACCAATTTGGACAGATTTAAAAGAGGATTGGACAAATTCATGGAGAAGTAAGTCAATAGCTACTCACCATGATGGCTGTATCCTTCTTCCAGGATCAGAGGTAATTGCCTATGTATACCAACTGACTGGCCACTCATGTGGGACGGTGCTGCTGCTCATCTTAAATTCCTATCCTTCCCCCATATGCAACCAAGGGGCTTTCAGGTGTATATAGGTGGTGTATATAGGTGCATCCTTAATGCCCACCCACCTGTCTTTTCCCTCCACAATCTAAACAAGTACAGCACAACAAATAATTTCAAGAAAAGGCTCTGTAATCAGACCTCATTTCCATTGATCTTTGATTTCTTTGCTGGAATCTCCTTATCCTGTGCAGGAAACATAAAAATCAATGTTGATTCAGAAATATAAAATATGTCACCAAGAAAAAAAAGTAGTTTATTAAAACCTAGACAATGCAGATATCAAGTTCAAACCAAGGAAAATTTAGGCCACAATCCATTCTACAGTGAATTGCAAATAGGTGCCACTGAATCTCAAGGAATGCCTTCCAAGCATGTACCTGCAGGATTTGGTTTTAAGTGTATTTAATTCAACTGAAACTAAATGTCCACAAATCTAACTCATTTTTCTGAAATATATATCCCAATCCTATACAGTTTTACACAGGAAATACATTGCACTGAGTTCAATGGAGTTTACTCTCAAATAAAAGCACATAAGACATTGCCCTTCTCTGACTAACAGCTTTTTCACTGGTTCCAGGATTCCATAGATGACCGCTATTAATGGAAACAGTCATCCCTTGTCAAAACAATTAATTGGCTGCAGTATTTACATATTAACCCTTTTGTAAACTATCCTGAGACTATGATTTAAGGATGGCATAGTATTTAATTAATTAACTTGTATCCCGCCTTTGTGCCCCAAAAACGGTCAAGGAAGCTGTAAAACCAGATGAAGAAAATCTTCATTAAAACAGACCCATTAAAACATACAAAAGCAAACCTATCAAAAATACAACTTACTAAAAGACTCCTAATAGTCCCTTGGACTGTGAAGAGATCAAACCAGTCAATCGTAAAGCAAATCAACCCTGACTACCCTTTAGAAGGCCAGATACTGAAGATGAAACTCAAATACTTTGGCCACCTAATGAGAAGGAACAACTCACTGGGGAAGACCTTGATGCTGGGAACGCTTGACAGCAAAAAGAGAAGGGAACGGAAGAGGATGAGGTGGCTAGATGGAGTCACTGTGGCAATGGGTGTGGTCTTGGGTAGACTCCAAGGGATGGTAGAGGACACAGGAGAGCCTGGAGGAAAGTTGTCCATGGGATCATGATGGATCGAGTTCAACTTTGAGACTGAACAACAACAAAAGAAGAAGAAGACACAGCAAAAAGTGCAAAAATTTCCTGACTTAGGGTTGCCAAGGCCAATGCTGGAGAGGGACTCAGGACACGTGTGATCCTGTGTCCAGCTGGCCATGACATTCACACAGTCATTTGCTCTCTGCCCACAGAGCAGAAGGGCCAAGTAAGCTGGCTTGGTTCTTTGTAGAAAATATAAATGCATATTATATCTTGCAGGATATAACCATTGTTGTTGTTAGTCACGAAGTCGTGTCCGACCCATTGCGACCCGATGGATAACATTCCTCCAGGCCTTCCTGTCCTCCACCATCCTCCAGAGTCCACCCAAGCTCACAATAACTGCTTCAGTGACTCCATCTAGCCACCTCATCCTCTGCCGTCCCCTTCTTCTTTTGCCATCTATTGTTCCCAGCATTGGATATAACTAAAATAAATAAATAAGCAAGCAAGCAAGCTTTTGAACACATGCTGATTCCTATGGTCCATATCAGATAGAAACATGCAGGTATCTCCTGTGCATGAACACAGGAAGGTGGCACAGAAAGTCAACCCATTTAGTTTAGCATTTTTGACTGGCAGGAGCTTTCCTAGAAGTCTTTTTACCCCTAGGAAGATCTGCATGCAAAGCATGTGCTCTGTCACTGAGCTAATGCCTTTCCTGAATAGGACCATTCTACCACTTGGCCTCAAATCACTGAGGCTCACACTGTCCACTCAGACTAGCCACAGTCCTCCAGGCGCCAGTGGAGAACATGGTGATGGAATGCATTAAATGCTCTCCTGCATGCACACAGTTTAAGCAGACCCTTTTACAGCTCTCCTGCAAGCAGGCCAAAATTAGTTTTTTTCCTTCTCCTGGGGATAGCTTGCTTGCCCCACATATGTTAAAGGTTTATGTTGCTCTTGAAACTCCAATTGTATGGCATTTTATTTAAAACAGATATTTACTTGGGGCTTCTTTCGCATTATCTAAATATTTGCTTTATTTTAAACCATTTATTTTATTTATTATTTTAAGAACATACTCCTTAATCATGCTGACTTCTGTATACCACCTTGGAATTTTGAGGGAAAGAGATGGGCAGAAGGTACATCACTGCATCTTCCAGAACAGGTGGTTTGCTGGACCACTCAGTATCTACTAGTTACTGAATTTTTTGCAAATAATGCTAGACTCAGGGCTGAATCCTATCAGTTGCACCCCTGATGCCTCCAAACCTGAAGGCTTACAAGTATCCAATGAAGAACAGGAGGAACTGTGAAGATGGTCTCTCCCTCCCTACACCTGCTGTCTGCATTTCAGGCAGACAACCATTTCCAGCCATCTAGCTGAGTCGTTTGCAGTGGGATGGAAGAAAACTGGAACACCATCAGGATTGTCTGTAGTATCTAGTCTGTAGTATCCAGCTCCAGTATTCTCCTCTCCCCCTGAAAGGTCCCCTTTACCCTTTTTCCAAGGTCAATTTCCCAACCTAAGAAATGTAGCTAGTACAATTCTTCTCGTGAAATCACCAAGTTTCTGAAAAACTACCAAACCCAGTTCTTATAACTCAGTGAGATATAATGGCTCAGAAATCAAACTTAACTCAAATTATCTTTAAAGTCCATGAAGAATGATTACAAGAACACTAGAAAGCTAGATGCACAAGATCAACCCTTTTCTCCCAGCAACTTCAACAAACAAAGAATGTTACGGACACAATTACCTCATCTGGTTCAGCCAACAGAGGAATGTCATGGAATGGGGAAATGTATTTTCCTTTTGCATCTTCTATAAGAGTAAACAAAAGGTTATGAGCACACACATTAAAAAGAGTATACATTTCACTTGCTTATACCTATCTGCAAAGATATGAAGGAATTTACAATGACTGACCTTATAAAGGATGCTTGTTTAGCGTACAATGGTTGTGTATGGATGAGGTTTCACATCTCAGTTTTAAGTCAACACATGTCTTTTGCCCATGCACAGAACCCCTTTCCTCTCCTTCTTGGCATGAAACCAAATCAGAAGTCTCCTACCGAGACCCCAAGTCAGTGTACAGATAATTCAAGTGACTGTGTCAAAAAAGGCTGAAAAGTCTAGCACTGGTTTACTGTAAGACTTGCCTTGCTGCTTTCCTAGTCTGCAGGCAAGAGGGAACAGCATCCCCATTTCCCCATCTCAACACCAGGATTTTGAAGGATAGAGACTAAGGGAACAGATCTCTGTGTGTTTGGACAATGGGTCCTAAAAAGGCTGCTTGGGGCATGCTGGAATTTGTAGGACTTTTTTCTTCTGTCTAAACATGCATACAGTTGCATCCTAACAGAACTATTTTAGGGAAATGAAAGTGTAACCAGGATGTGGGCTCATTCTGGCCCTTTGATCTTTCCTGTTGACAGGAAGTTCTGAAGTGACTTTAACTAATTCCACATGGACATAGTTATGAAGGTTCTTGCAACAAAACCTTGATCATGCAATTGTCTCCAGAAGGTGGCTACAGTCTCCCTTCAGGCACAAGTTTAGCATTCACACATGTAGACAAATACCTGCACAGAGCCCTTGTCTGACTAGTTACCAGTGTTGGAACTTGTCCACACAAGGCCAGCTGAAGGGTCAGCATGTCTGTGCACCCCAGCGGCAGGGGAACACAAGCTGGAAGGCACTACTGCAATGACGTCCTGTGTTTGGGGTTCCCACAGGCAGCTGGAGGGCCACTGTGCAAAGGACACGACAGCTGCGATGGGCCCCTGCTCTGATCCTGCAGGGCTCTTCTTAAATACACCAACAGGGAGTGCACATGTGCACTACACCACTGGCACTCTGTGTTCAGAGCTCGTTAATGTTTAACAAGCTGTGCTCTTATGTGACTACAATTCAACATGAAGTATGCGGGAGAGTTTTACATAATCCAAGAAGCCTGCCTGGCACCCAGCCAGACCACTGGTCCATCTAGTCCTTGCCCCCTACTTTTCGGCTGGCAGTAGTTCTTCAGTGTTTCTGTTGGGACCTTTCCCAGCCCTACTACTTTTATTGAGCTACGAGGAGCTGGATTTTGACCCTGTGCATACAGATCCCACTCTCTACCAATGTGCTCTGGCCGCTAGACTTGCCAGTGAACGGTACCCATCCATCTAACCACTGGCATTTCTGTGGCATGTGCTTAGCACAACTGCTGTGCAAAATCTAGTGCCTAGCATAGATACTGCAATGGTAAGGGAAGCAAACATGTGAGTTTGTGCTCTTACATCTCAATTCTGTGCCCACTTTCTTGCAAGCAAGGCTCACAGAATACATTCTGAACCCACATACAAAGGAAAGCGTTTCTGCCAAAGTATTCTACCCAAAAAACTATGGTAAAAACATGGTTAGAGTTACAACTTGCAATAGAGTCTCACCATTCAGCTTCCAGAACTATAAGCAGAACTTCTGTATTTTCATGATGTACACATACCAGGAACAACACTGTACATGCAATAAATTATATACAAGGCAACCCTCCTACAGCTTCCAAGCAACTCCTTTCCCCAAAGCAGGGGTGGCTATACAGTGGAAAGCATCCACTGGGATATTTTGGGGTGATTTGCAATATGTAAGAAGAACTCTGCTGGACCACACAGTGAAGCATTCCCTCTAGTCTTCTGTATATTCAGGGATATTTTTTTTTTTTTTTGCTTTGCCCCACTGCAGCCCTTGTTCAGTGCTGGACCATTAGAAGTGCAATCCTATGCAGGTCTGGACATAAAATAGGCATAAAACTCCCTATATGTTGCATCTGGCTGGGGAATACTGCAAGTCGTCTACACCTGTTTTGGATCATGCCCTAAAGTAATTAGAATTGATACTAAATGAATGGTCATGGTGGATTCATGACAATGCCCATCCAAATGCATCTTATCTCCACAGTGGCCAACTAGATGCCTATGGGATGCCCACAAGACATGAGTGTATCAGCTCCTTCCAACTGACATTCCACAGAACGGCAGAGGTGTGCTAATGCTGATACTAGAGGTAATAAGGTGCCAGCAGGATTCACAGCCACTGATCGCCTTCTCCACCATGAATTTGTCTAATCCTTTTAAAGCTATCTATGGTGCATTACATCTTGCAGTATGTTCTGTGTTTACTAGCAGGTCCTGAATCTCCCACCATTCATCTTCATTGGATGGTTCCACAGTTGAGTATTATTAAAGGAAGCACAACCTCTCTTCTTCTCTCCTCTCCCATTTCATACATAATTTTCTACAGCTTTAGCATGTCTCCCCTTACTTGCCCCTTCAACCCCAAATGTTGCAACTCACAGGGGAGTTACTCCAGCCCCTAGATCATGTTGGTTTCCCTTTGCAGCACCTTCTCCAGTGTTTTGTTGACAGCAAAGACTTCCACCTTCCACTGTGATTAGCACTGCCTCACCATGGGCACCACCACTGCCAGAATGTAAGGAGCTTGGCATCACCCAGGAGAAGCCCTTGGTGAGAGGAGACTATGAATTCGCTGCAGGTATAGCACTGAAAGCTCTTCCGTGTTCTCTCGTTCTAAAGCTCCCATCCTTTGCAGCTGGCTCTGATCGGTCGATTGGAGGATTCTAGTAATATTCTTATGAAATCAATGAAAATCAAAGAGCATTCAACATTAATGGTGAATGCACCAGAACAGGGTTCAGGGATTCAAATTCAAGTTGAGCCAGTCGCTGATTTGCAGCATAGCCTACCTCAGAGTTATGCTGAGGATAAAAGGAAGAGGAAGCCCATGCTAGACTACTCGGGTTCCTTGCAAAAAATAAACTCAGTATATAAAAGGATCAAGCAAGCATAAGATCTTCAAACCTAATCCTTAAGGACTGTGTAACACATAATGAAATAATTCCACAAAAGTGATGTAAGAGTCTGCATGAAGTCCAAGGCCATAAATCCTCAGTTGCAACCCCTGTTCACATCAAGAGCACAAAGGAGGGATTTCTTCCAACTTCCCCTCTATCGAAGTCCCATTTCCAGGGTTCTGACGGGATGCAGAAGCAGGTACGAAGGCCCTCAGTGGACATCTTGGATCCACATCCACATGTGCTCATTGGCCATACATATTACAGAATGCTACAACTGGCAATGACACCAGTTACACAAATGTAGGTTCATGAAGCTGCACACAGAACAATCAGCCCACACGAACAGAAACCGAGGATCAAACCATCAAGTTTCCCCGCAAGACTTGAATGCTGTCGAGCGCATCAATCGCTGGCTCAGGAACTCTACGTACAAGCCCGAACCTCCGCCGGGCGGTTTTGAAAACACAGGACAACAAAGCAGCCAGGTCTTTGCTCACACCCAGCCGGGCACGATTGGCCGTTCCTACATTGCAAGAATCAACAGGAGGCGGGTCCTCCCGAAGCCCCGCCTCGGAGCGCGCGGCATGAAGCGCTTTCCCAGCACTCAAGCCCCGCCCTGGAACACCATGTAGCGAGGCGAGGCGCCCGGCCAGGCTCCGCGCCGCGCCGCGACCCCACTTCAAAGGCATCCCCGGCGCTGCGCACGTGGCTTCGCGGGGCCGCTACTCACTGAAGTAGAGGCGGTAATCCGGCGTGTGGAGCTGCCCGCGCGGCTCCGTGGCGTAGCCAGCCATGAGCCCGTCGTGCCAGCGGCAGCCCGCCACGGCCCACGGCTGCGGAGGGCGCGTTGGCGGCCTTCTGCAGGAAGCGGCACCGCGCTGGGCCGCCAGAGGCAGCCGCGACAGCCAACGCAAGCAGGAGCCCGCGCGCATGCCGATGCCTTCCGCTTCTCTGGCAGCCCCTCCTCCGGCGCGGCGGGTGGAGCTTGAGCATGCTCAGCGCCGGAGCTGCTTCCCCGCCACGGCCCTCCGCGTTGTTGATTCCCTGCTCGCCAGCCGGAGAAAATTGGGCAGCGGTTCAAAAGGCGGGCATCCGAAACGGGCGGGAGGGCGCTGTGGGCGGTCCAGGACTCTCGCACGCCCTTCCCGCGCGCGCGCGCGCGCACACACCCACCCACCCCCCCTCCCGGGGGCGGCAGCTCTCGCCTGCGGTGGTGCCCCGGCCCCTGGTTTTCAGCGGCACCGTAGCTAATATCCTAGAGCGATAGTCCCTTAAGAAAGTAATGTACTTTTTATTAGCAGAGCGTGCAAAAATCCTTTTGATGGTATTACTATTAGCAGGGGAGTATACCGTGGAGCTAGTCAGTAGCAAGGAAACATTTTAGGCGTTTTCTGTTTAAGAAACCTACCGTCCACGTCCCGGGCAGTGTGCGGATTCAGATCGTCTTCATTCTCGCTGAATTAAAAACTCGCAGGGGATTAAACATGCCTAAGCTTAACCATTGTGACTAGTAGCCTTTGTATTCCATGTCCCAGTGATAAGAGTTAACTTAAAGCTCATGTTGGGGAAATACATGTGAAATTCAACAAAGGCAGAATTTCCACCGGGCACACTTCTCTAACACGTTCCCAAGCAGACTGCCTAACCTAACCTATCTTCACATTGGGAATATGTCCCTACTGAAGCTTCTCACAACGGGGGATAAACCTGGCAGCTGCTATTTCCAGCAAATTAAGCCCATGGGTCAGTTGAAAAATTGGTAACCCTGAATATTAGAGAAGCAAATATTGCACGTCACAAATAGATTTATACCTCTTGAAGATGGAATGGGGAAATTGTGTTGTCTTTTGCACATGTCAATTTGGAAATATTAACATTTAATCCCATTACTAAAAACTAGGAATAGCTAAAAGGCTAAAAGAGACCAGTCAGACTAGTTCAGAACTTCATCATTCACCCTGGTCAGGATACTTACCTTTCCAAGAAGTTTCGGAAAGTAAGCTGGCTGTGGCCCATAACTCTTGAAAGACTGTCAGCGCATACCTTATGAATGGATTGATGTGATGATTACCTGCTGAAAAATACTACGTGTGCACAGACTGTGTAGTTCAGGTTTGATTCTTGTCTCTGACAACAGGACAGATCAAATCAATGCCTGAATGAGGAAGTTGGGAAGCAAAACATTAAGACAAGGCAATCCATGAAACAAAAGAATGAATACTATTGTAAGACTCACACTGAAAATGAAAAGGATTGTGATTTCCTGTGCAGACTGAAAGTGGACAATCAGCAGCACTTGTCAAGGATTTAAACCTGAAATGTTTAATTTTGTGATTGACTTATCAAATACTAAGAATTGGGCACAACCTAGTCAATGTTGTGCATTTTTAATCTTATGTAATTCAGTGAGAAAGAATGAAGATTCCATTATGTATGTTGTCTCTGGTGCAGCTTGATGGTGTTTCTGAAATGGAAAATGCATTCTGACTTGAGTTGTACAAAATATCCCCTCCCCAAAGTAATAACATCCAAAAGATTTTGCCAGCCCTGCTGCTAATAGCTCATAAATTTCTTGAGGTCATTCATTTCTCTTTCTCAAAAATATAAAACTCATCTGACTGCTTCTTTTGGAAGTCACCACTTCCCTAAGTACATACATAAGATAGTCGTCTTTTGTATATGTATAAACTCACTCTGTTTTTACTGAAGCAAGACAAACATGCATTTGTTCTTCCTGGGATTACACATCTTTCTCCTTTGAATTCTCTCCTTTGCAAAGTCTCTGAGGCTCCTTAACACTGCAGAACTTCATTAAATCAATGAAGATTTAATCTTTAAGATTTAAGACACAGAACCCTTTCAGTGTGGTGTGTAGTGGATTCCAGCTAGCAGCTCACCAGCAAAGATTTGTTTCTAGATATCACTCTTCCTTAGAACACCATATAACCAACCAGATCAATTGTTACAAACCAAATGATAAACACCACACTAAAACAACACACTAGAGTTACTGATCTGCCCCTCTACCTCCAATGGCCTGTTTTCCTCTATTGGTAAAATGTACTTTCCCAGTGTGTTTCTTGGGAATAAGATTTGGCATACGCTACAACTGTATATACTCAATAGCTGTACCTGTTCTCTCATAGATGTTGCTGACAAGTGTCAGAGTTGCGGCTAGAACATCAGCTTGTTGGCTCTGATGGGCCTGAAAGCTAGAATAGAGTAGAAGGGTTGCCAGTGTCTGGACTATCCATGGCCAGTTTGATGACCTCCTTAGAACTACCTTAACAGGCAATCCTTTACAGCTGTATGCCTTAAATAACCTCAGCTGCGGATGTCTGCGTATTAGCTCAGTCAGAGGGTCAAGAACTGGCCTAGCAGGTTTTCTCTTGTGCTTTTACTTTTCCAGCCAGTTGGTAACCAACCACCTAAGGCAGGTTCAGGCTACAAGCCTACCCCAGGCTTAAGGTTGCTGGGAAGCCCTGCCATGCCTGACTAATGTTAGGGTACACAGGGGGTCCTTAGGCACCATCATCCACGCTTCTTCCCTCAACCTTCCAACTGGTATCCTGACAGATGTTGCACTGTAGCACTGAGGGGAGCAGAATGACAGCTGCAAAAAGGGACTTTTTGGCAGCTGCCGTCAGTTTCCCTTCCACACATTCCTGCAGATGCTCATGGGATTGTTTGTGAGTGATCCTGCTCAGCAAGAGCATAGGACGAGAAGCCTGGACTGTGGGCAGGGGGCACAAACCGCCTAACCCTGGGCTTGGAAGGCCAGCGTCAGGAGGCCCAAGGACCCTTCGGGTGAGGCATTCCATGGCTAAGCAGTGCAGAGGGAAGGACCCTTTCCCACTGCTCAGCTGTGGTGGACTGAGGGGCAGGTAGGTGCTGCCTCCTGCCTCATTCCACTCCCTTCTTAGTGGAAAGAGGGTAAAATAGGGTAGATAGAAGCCATGCTTGCCTCCCTGCTTGCCTCCCTATTAAGGCAGAGTGGCTTTTTCCAGGTGTGGCAGGTGGGATCCAGCTGCTTGGCCTCACAAAGAATGCAGGGAGAAATGACAGCAGATCCATAAAGTGCCACTTGGGCACTTTGCTGGTTGCCACCAACCAGAGCTCCTTGCCCACAGCAGCAATGCTGTTTTGCCACTTAGGGTGAGGAGGTCTGTAGCCTTCCAGCTTGTTCATGGCTTGATGTGTTGTCTGGGTGACGCACTAAGTGACCACAAATTTTGCAAGCCTTAGAACAAGACATAGCTGATGTTGTGAGCTGCCTTAAGTCCCAGTCACTTGGAACAGGTGGGGCATAAATAAAATAACAATAAACCATTCCAAGCAAAGCAGAGGGTTCACCCAGCACGCTAAATTGCCCTGACCCACCAGGTGCTTAGCATGCCACATATACAGTAGGCCTAAAATAGGTCATAGGTCTACAATAGCCAGCTACTGTACAACATTTTCTAAGTTCTCGATACTCAGATGATAGTCTGTAAAATAAGATTTCAGACATGGTCTGATCAGGCAAGTCATCCCCAGAAACTGCAGAGTGGTCATTTGCTTCCTGCACCAGCTCCCTGCCTTGCTACATGAAGCCACTCCAAGCTTCTATTAGTGACATGCACTTTGTATTTTTGACTGAAGGTGTGTCTATTGCTGAATAAATAAGCTTGGATTGTACATGAGCGACCTAAAGGTGACATTTTTACTCCTTTGGTTATCTACATTTCTTTTTGTGGCATTCATTCTGTGTCCGTTCTTATCTTGCCATTGTAACTGGGAATAAATTATAGAACAGAGCATAAGTGCAACGTCCAAAGTTCTCAGCAAGACGGTCACATGGTTTTTATTAGTTATTTCTACTTGAGCAGGGCTCTGGCACAGGAGCTGCGTGCAGCAAATGGCTCCTTACAGAGGCTCCCTGATAAGCCTGCCTCCTGCAGTGCCCTAGAAGCTGAGGGGCAACAAGCGGACCTGTTTCCCCTCTTACCGATTCATTAACCAAAGATTCCCCAGCATCTTCGGCAAAGATTTCAGTCTTCCTATAGAGTTACAAAGGGTTTTAATTGCAAAGGACATTTAATATTGTATAACAAAGGCCATTTATTGAATTTAATATCAAAAGATAGGCAGCAAAACAAAAGTGAGGAGAAGACCCAGACTGCCTTGATGACTGACACAGGACATTTTCTTTCTTTATGTAAAGGACCAGATTCAACCTTTGCTGTCTCATTAGAAGCTCTCAAGTAGCCAGCCTACTTGAGATTCCAGAGACAGGAACATAAGAAAAGCCTCTTGGGTTAACCCAAAGGCTTCCCTGGTCCAACACAGCCAACCTTTCAAAAAACATATCCCACCTTTTCCCCTTTCAAGGAACTCAAAGCAATTCACATAATTCTCCTGCTCTCACTCTTATCCTCATAACAACCTTCTGAGGCAGGCTGGGCTGAGAGTCTGTGCCTGGCTCAAAGTCAGCCAGTCAAGCATGGTCAAACGGGGACCAGAACCCAGATCACCCGAGTCCCAGATCTGCACTCTTAACTGACTCTCATGCCTCTGGGCAGCCCAGAAGAGTGACGGGAGCTGTAACCTCCTCTTACTGTGGTCCCCTAACAGCTGCCACTGAGAGAGAGATAGGAGCTGGCGCACAGCTCTCATGGAGCTGATCAACCATATAATGTCCTACATGTTAATAGACATGCTGAAGGCCTAAACACTCTTGCTTCAAAAAGGTAGAAAGAATAACTGGCAAGTTTTGTTGACCATTCCATGCCACAAGCGTGATGCTGTATTCATGAAAGTGCCTAGATCTTCTCCATGCAGGGGCAGACCAGATACAGACCAGCTTAGCTTCAATCTGACGCTGGGAACCCTTTACTTGCTCCCTTCATTTCCATCATGGGAGAAAGGTGATTCTAGATATAAATATGACTATACCTATTTGGCTAGCACACTTTACAATTTTAAAATTTTAAAATTGCCTTTATAATCCCTTTTTCGATTTTGCATTGAACCCAAGGCAGCTTATGTAATCCTTTCCCTTCTTGTTTTATCCTCACAGCCACAACCCTGTATGGTAGGCTATGCTGAAAATAAGTGACTGGCCCAGAGTGAGCTTCATGGGCAAGAAGAGACTTTTAAACCCAGGTCTCCCAAGTCCCAAAACAGTGCTGTAACGACTACACCACAATATTTAAAGGAAAGCCTTCACACCTTGCTGTTAACTAACCTCTCATTCCCCCTCAAAATGCCATGCATTACAAGCAGCAATGCTTCATTTACTTAGCAGCTATCAAAGATACAATAATGCCTTTGGCAACCATCATGGTTGGAGATAAAGACAAAGATTTGTAATGATCACAGAACAATAACATCTGATATGGTTCCACTGTTGTTGCTTGGGAACACAGTACCAATATTTTCTATGCAGAGATCAGCATCTGTTTCCTCACTTAGGAAAAAGCTATCATGCACATTAAAATGCTTATGAACTTTAACATAGTGGTGCCTGCTTATTACGAAGGGAAATATTTGGCTTACATTCTCACTCTGCAATACAAATGCTGTTAGCTGAAGCTAGGTGCCACATATTAGAGTATATTTCATCTTAGATTTTAAATAGTTTGCTTAGCGTAATGTCATGTTAGCTCCAAAGGCGAACACTTGACTGCATCAGACTTTTTAAGTATCCCATCAGTCAGTTCTCTTTTGATCCACTCAAATGCCTCTTTTCTTTGGTAAAAGTACATTTGATTGGCTGAGTAAGTTAGGTTGACATATGGCCATTTCAGAACCCAGTTCAGCCATGAAGCTTTCTGGGACACTCTGGATCCTCAAAAGAGCCCTTCTGGATCAGAGCAAGGACCCAGCTGATCCTACACTTTGCACACACAGTGGCCATTCTCCTGGCCATGGGAAATCCAGAAGCGGAACAACAGTGTGACATTGTAGGGAAATTTGGCCTGGCGGTAAGAAAAGAGCTTTTAAAGTCCCTTACAAAGAAGCATAGGATGTCAGGGATGGCTGTACCATGAAGCAGAGTGATGCCGTCACTTTGGGAAACTGTTTTGCGGTATTCCAAAAAGGTGGCACATATTGTTAGAAACCTAATTTGAAGCTCTTTTTATTGCTTTCAGAGAACTGGGTGTGTAAGTTTCTGCCTCAGATGGCAAAGTAATTGACTTGCCTTAAGGAGAACCTAGCATGGTGGCAGAGGAGCAAATGTCTTCCGCCACCTCTGAAAAGAAGGAACTTCTCCCTGAATTTCTTAATCAGATCCTTAAGCACGAGAATGAAGATTCTATCACTTAGGCATCCACTAGCAATCAAGTAGAAATATCCACATCTTCCACATGCTTCACCAAAAGGGAAGATAAGCACTGGGCTGTCTGTTTTTTAACACATTTTTTAAATTGCTTTATTGCATAGAATAAATAGAAGTAAAGAGGAAACAACACAGGAGCATAGGCACATGACCCTAAAAGGGGCTGGCAAGGGAGCACAGCCCCTGGTGCTCTGCTCCACAGCCTGCTGCAAATGTCTCAGGTAACAGGTGTCTGGTTCCCCAGTCCGTGTACTGAAGGATGACTTCATAGGGGTGGAGTCCTGCTAGGCTGTAGAGGTGGCAGTCAGGTGAGCCAGGTAAGAAGTGAACTTATGCAGATCTTGGAACGAGACAGCTGATCTATGCAAGAAGCTGTGCCATTCACGACAAGCCGGCAGGACACACTGCCAGCTTAGCCTTTCTTTTCTCTTTATCCTAAGCAAGTAGGGCAAGAAAGGGATTCCCCCGCCTCTCGCCTGGAGATGGAAACCAGAGATCCTACTGGGAAAGAAAATGCGGGCACCAGGAAAAAGAACTTGACCTTTTTAAAGCAGAGGGTGTACATGCTGGAGAGGAGGAAGACTGACACAGTCGTGGAAAGTAATTTTTCTGGGGACCACGGCAGCTCTGGGACGTTGAGGAGGAGTCAGTCTGATAGGAGCGAATACAGTCAAAAATTGCAAGGTAAAGTGAGGGATGGTGGTGGTGGAAGGGGCTGAGCCAAGTGATTACTAGTTAATGATCTCAGAGCAATTCTGTACAGTATCAAAATTTTCTTGGTGGTAGAAAGTATGGAAGAAATCAGTGGATGGTCTTTAAATTCCTGAATGCAAGGTAAGGGGGGGGGGGGGGGAGAGAAATATTCATTTACAATAAAGACTATTAAGTATGTCCACTGATCATTTGTTTAAAAAAGCCTTCTATAATAGTTGGGCCACTGAGAAAGCAGCGAGGGGCAGCGAGTCCATTTCTTCACAATGAGGGAAGCTGTGCAGCAAGGCTAAAGTTGTCCCTACTGTAATACTTTACTAGCAACATAGTGGCAGTTTTTGCTTACGCATTTAAAATACGCATTGTATTGCAGAAACAAGGGAAAAGTTACTTTTCTCCACTCCTTGCATGCTGTGCAATTTGCTTAACTGCCCTCATGGTGGAGGTTGCTGCAGTGGGGGTGACATCCAACCCACCCCAGAACCCTTCAACAAGCCGTGGTTCTGGGTGGTTTGGATGACAGGGCAACCTGCTTGTCACAAGTGTAATAAGGCAAATCATACAGTACACAGCTGGCATGGGCAGAGGCAGAGGCAAGAAGGTACCACGGCTTCTTTTCCCCAGTGCTCATGGAGCCTCATCCTTGTGAGATAGGCTACCTGCAAAATCAAATAATAGGAAAAGACCTGGGGAATGCTTGTCTTGGGGAAAAAGTGCTTTGGTTATCTCTTGTTTGGATCTTAAACAAGTGATCTGAGACAGCATTCATTTCACAGAAGGAGCAGGGAAGGGGGGGGGGGGGAGAGAGAGAGAGAGAGAGAGCACATGCCCTTGAAGCCAGAAAGAAGTGCAATGACATTGCATCTTATATAGTCCCTGGTGTGTGGAGAGAGAAGGGTGGAGAGGTGAAGAAGCATGTTTTGTTTCCACCTGTACAAGTTGCAATCCCCACTGCTGCTTCCTCTAAAGTTGTCTTGGTGACTTCAGCAGAACGCTGCTGTTGCACAGAAAGCAAATGAAGTGCAGCTGGAGATGTGGAAGACTTTAAATTATATTTATAGATTTTCCATTAAAACAACTTTCCCAATCCTCTATATCACATCTGCTCTCTATAATAGTGTGATTCCATGCATGTTTATTTAGATGAAAGGCCCTGAAGGGTACAATCCTGTGTATTTTTAGACAGATAAAAAGCCCATAGGATTGTGCCTTAAGTTCATCAGGACTCATTCCCAGCCAAGTGTGTAGAGGGTTGCAGACAAAATGGCTTAAATAAGCACAATCTGTGTGTTTTCCATTCACCTTGTTCAAGGAATTCAGTCTATAGTGTCACACTGAACAGGTCTGGTTACACTGCCCTAAAGCCATGACCCACAGGCCTTTCTTTGCAGTGAAAAAGAGAGCTGTATGGCAAACAATCGTGTGGTTGTTCTCAGCACTTCCCCCAACCCCTGCCTCTGGCCTTTTAAAAGGACAAGGTAAATCCTGCATTTCCTTATATGCAAAGGCTGGCTGGCAGAACACTTCAGCTCTGCAGAACATTCCTGTAACACATGTGCAGATTCCTCTGTTTCTTAATGCTATGAACTCTTCTACCAACAGAACTAGGGGAAATAACATAAGCAACACAACCAATACGGGGAGATTTATATATGCCCAGTCCCATATCTATTCAACAATTTGCCTATTTTCCCATCCCATGATGGGTTCCTAGTGTACACGTACTGGTTTAAGAGGGATTACTGGTCTATTTCTTCATACAGTTCTCAGGTTGGCATCTACCTTGGAATTCCAGGCCTGGAGTGTGCTTTGTTCCAACTTTTCAAAAAGAAACCTTTTTTTTACCTTTGTATAACATAAAGATACATTACACCCCTTACCTTTAGTCTATCCTATTGACCTACAGGCAAGAAGCACAAACACAACATGGAAAGGCAGAAAATAAATTATCAGAATGTACTGAACTGGTTAGTAGATACATCGGTCTTAACCAACAAAAGTCATTTGTCTTTAGAAATTCAGCCACTCCCTGGGCTTGGGGGCTTCTCTTTCAACAGGGCAAAGTAAATGCAGGTGTTCCTGGCTCATCCACGGGTGTCATCAGACATTGTCTCTGAAGGTTTTTCATGAGGAGCTACAGCTAAGGAACTGTTATGATCAGACACAGAGACTTTGGTTCAGTCTCTCTAGTCCTGCATAGTGTCTCAATCTGTTTTTCTGTCCCTGGCCACCACACATCCATGTGCTAGCCCCTTCATCTGTACCATGCCACAATGCACTCCATGCAACGACTTCAGCACAGCAGAGTCCCTAGAGGTACAACTACCCAATATATCAATCATAAATATCCAGCCTAGATGGGCAAGGGCTCTCTCTGCTGAAAGGAAAGCTGACAATCTCTGCTTCCATCTGCAGTCTTTCCATTCATGACCATCCTTTGCTCTCTGGTCAGAGCATCTTGGTCAGTGCCCTGTTTAATATTTATTGTACCTATTAGGAATGAGGCATCCTGTATGCTGACATGGTTCCAACTCCATGCTAAGAGGCATTGCAAGATAAAGGGCTTCTCTGGCAGCGTCTACACGGTGTGCACCTCATCTGTGCTCTCACTATTCCCACTGGTACCTCTTCTTCCCATGACATTCCTGTTGCTTTTTCTACATCCTCCTTATACAACACAGTCTTGGATAGATGGCCTCAGTTCAGGCACTACCAGCACTCACTATTATTGTGACTGAATGTCATGTCTTCTTCTGCATCAAAAGCAGGGTTATGCTATTTAAGTGGCATCTCTCTTCCTGTGCAAAGTCCTTTTCTGCACATGCTGCTTTGGACAACTTATTTATGGGTAGCTGCAAAAACTAGACTTGAAAAATTTCCATCTGAAATATATTTCCAAAATGACAATTTAATATTCCAACGGTACCTCCTTAGCATTTGGATTCCAATCTTCAGTACAGGAGTCCTACCCAGGAAATTATCAAGCATTATTTATTTATCATATAGCATCACCAGCATCCATGGCAATTCCCAGAATAATATAAAGAAAACATGATCCCTGCTTTGTGGAGCTTCTGCTGGCTTAACTTATGATGTCTTTTGCATGAAGGGTCAATGGTTTCCTCCAAGCTCTACCTTCTGCCCCTGGAACTTACTATGGCGGCCCTGCATGCCATTCCAGGGAGTCTTTCAGTCTGAATCAGGAATCACGTTCCAGGGGGAGATGCTGGCTTGTTGCACGCACCATGCAAAAAGGAACACCCGTGTTGCATGGAACATAATAGATTGAACTTGGGATCCAGGCAATTCATACCTGATCTTCAGTCATTTTATTGCAGAAATTCAGGCATGTACATCCTTTGTAGAACAGGCAAGAGCCCTGTATTAAGAACTTTTCCTCACTTAACAGCCCCAGAACCACCCTGACCTCCTCTTCATGGTGAATATTCTATTGACGTTTCTTGTGGCTCATGCTTTCCCACAGAAGAGCACAGAGTGTGTTACAGATATTACTAAAACTACCAATAATAAAACTCAGCAATCATAGTAAAATACTGTAAAGTACAGCAATAATAAGTTAACTTAAAGACAGTCAAACCAACAAGTCAAGAGGCAAATGCTTTTGTAAATAAAAGAGTACTTAACTTACTTTTACAAGCATTCATTAATGGCACCTCTCCTGGGAGGGATTTCCATAAACAGAGGAGGAAGAGCAGCTTTAGGAATGTCCTCCTTGACATCTCGGCCCTCTCACATCATTCATGGGTGGGCAGGGGAAAGTGCTTAAGGAATCTCCCATAGATTGAAGGTTTCTAGTTAGCTGAGAAAGGGCCAGGAACTTCCCTCTATGAAATCACATAGAACATCAACATTTCCCTAGAATCCCATTTGCACAGTAGCACAGAGCTGATCATTATAGCATCTGTGTGATGCCATATTTCATCTTCCCTTTCCTCCAGTAAACGCAAAGTTCTGAAAACTGGCATTGTACCTGTGGAGCATCCGTTATTTGAGAAGGTTGTTATCTGAGAATGTTGACCCATATGGGATTACCTTTCATTAGAATTTCTGCAATCCCTTTTCAATGCCTTATAAAAGCAGTAGACAGGTCTCAGAAATGGTTTACATTTGACAGGTTAGTGAGGCTTAAGTGGAAGAGCAACTTAAACTGGCATTGAATTTAGAAAAATAAAAGCTATGCAACCCATCAGAGAGCCACTTCCCTTACTAAGCTAATGTTTGCGTAGGGTAGGATCTGTTCCTCAAAGCCCTTGAGCATAGATACAGATCCTTCCTTATTGGTTGCCATTCATTAAGTCCAAACTACCTTTAACTCTGAGGTTTTCCCTGCATGTTAGCAACACTGTATTTACAATATGTTTTCCATTATTGCTTAATGTTCCACTGTGTTATGTGTATATAGCATATTGAGGTGGCTGATATGGTAGAATAAAATTGCAAGTAAGAATACAACAGAAAAACAGCAGATAGGTAAATGTCTTTCATGGATCTGTATTTCCTTTTCATGTTAACATTTCTGTTCAGATTTTGCAGTTTTGGTCCTTTGGGAGATAAAGGTTAATTTGGTTGATCTGTGTTTTCAGGATACTAAACGGATCCGGCCAAATTTTGCACAGATTACCAAGAGCTACCCCAGCCAGTCAGCAAATCAAGTCAGATCTCCTAAGAAATATTGAATGGACCAACAATCATTTAGTAAAATTATTATTAATAGTATTTTAAAAGATTACAGAACAATAGAAGATGGCTTATCAAACTAAATAATAAAGGGTATACAAATTGTACCAGATTATCCATTTGACTCTGCTGCAACACTGCAGGTTGATTCACATATGAGATCTCTACTGACCTGTTCCACCTCAGCAATGACTCAGAATTCTGTCTGGGAAATGCCAGATCGCTGGTGTACAAGCAGTGGATCTCTCTCACACAACGGAATTGATAGGACTTTC